CAAATGGCAGGAGGTCGGGATGACCCATGGGGACTAACCCTGTATATCATTCAAACCATCTTGGTATGACAAACCAGAATATATATGGTTTAGGGGTGGGGATCTTGACCACTTACAAGATATTAGAACTTTCTTAAATAGCAGGGGGTGGGGGTGACCCCTGGGGACTAACCCTGTATATCATTCAAACCATCTTGGTATGACAAACCAGAATATATATGGTTTAGGGGTGGGGATCTTGACCACTTACAAGATATTAGAACTTTCTTAAATAGAAGGGGCTGGGGGTGACCCCTGGGGACTAACCCTGTATATCATTCAAACCCTCTTCGCATGACAAACCAGAATATATATGGTTTAGGGGTGGGGATCTTGACCACTTACAAGATATTAGAACTTTCTCAAATGGCAGGGGGTCGGGATGACCCCTGGGGAATAACCCTGTATATCATTCAAACCATCTTAGCATGACAAACCAGAATATATATGGTTTAGGGGTAGGGATCTTGACCACTTACAAGATATTAGAACTTTCTTAAATGGCATGGGGTGGGGGTGACCCCTGGGGACTAACCCTGTATTTCATTTGATGTGCTTTATCATGACAAACCAGAATATATATGGTTTAGGGGTGGGGATCTCGACCATTTACAAGATATCAGAACTTTCTCAAATGGCAGGGGGTCGGGATGACCCCTGGGGACTAACCCTGTATATCATTCAAACCATCTTAGCATGACAAACCAGAATATATATGGTTTAGGTGTGGGGATTTTGACCACTTACAAGGTATTAGAACTTTCATTAATGGCAGGGGGTGGGGATGACCCCTGGGGACTAACCCTGTATTTCATTTAATGGGTTTTATCATTTAGAACATTTTCAATTAAAAAGATTGTGTCTATCACAAACGGTTTTCAATTTATAATCATTTGAAAATTAAAAAAAATAAAATCCCATAGGGTTCTATAGTAAAACCCTCTTTTCTTTTTGCCCCTCAAAGTACCCCTTTATAAACCCCATTGCACAAACAAAACCCTGATTGCACCACTAGACATGTTAGTCTAACATATTGTGAAACCCTAAGTTAATCTGACAAGCGGTTTTGGAGAACGGGTGCGGACAAGTTCAAATTTAAAAGCGGCGGAAGAGGAAGAGGAAGAGGAAGAAGAATAATAATAATAATAAGAACTGAGCAAAAACAATAAGTCTTCCCAAACTTCGTTTGGGAGACTTAATAAGTTATCCTATTACTCATAAGAGTATTTCACAGGACAACAAAACTAATTTTTTTTCAAGCAGTCACTGAACCATGAAAATGAACTCAAAGACAATGGACACATGACGGATGGAAACCTCGCAACATAAGGCACCTGCTTCCAAAGTATGAAGCAGCTCATGCCAATGTTTTGCCTGCAAAACCAGTTAATTTCTGTTCATTATTTTTGGTTTAATGCTTTATTTTCAGCATGGCAATATTAATTTATTATCTTTACTATAGTGCTTCTGCTGCTTTGTGCTAGTTTTAGTAACTAACTAATCTATATGTGCTTTTAATGTGCAAACCATTTTATTTTTGCTTTTGTGCTTTTATCTCACAAGTGCATGTTTCAGTGTGTGTTTTAACTTGTAAGATGCTTTTAAGAACTTTTGTGATGCATGTTTATATACTGATATGAATACTTGCTTTATATGTTTAATTTGTGTGTGCATGACTTGATATGTATGTTTTGTTTTATTTGTTGCTCTGTCGGTTTTAAAAGCTCTTCAGAGCTTGTGTTTTATACTTGTATTTGCACATACCGACTATAAATAAAGCTTTATGTCTTATGTCTTATAGGTCTTTTACCTTCTGAAATATAAAGCTTTATATAAATAGTTCACCCCATCGCCACTGGATTGGAATCCCTGTCAACCATTCTGGGAAGATCTTCGAGGCGAGACAAAAACTCAACTTTGATTAAACCATGAAAATGAGGTCAAGTTCAGGTGACTCCATGTCTATTCTATTGTTCAAAACAAACTTGCCATTGATTAATTAACTACAAAAAAGTAATAGTAGTTCTGACATCTTCTTTTTAGCCAATAAACATTACTGTACAGTCATATTAGGTTATGAACTGTGACCTTACTATCAGCAACTGTTCAATTCAGTCGCATGGCATTAATTTAATTTGTATTTACAGGTGTTTTTTTTTCAACCAAGAACAGCTTTTTCTTGTACATAACGGATGTATGTGTTTTCATACTTTCAAGTAAATTTTTATTATACTTTTTTGAGATTAGAAGGGGAGAGGGATTGAGATTCCGAAAGTATTCCATTTGCTAGTCATGTCCCTGTTCCAAATAAAAATCAGTGCTCGTCTACTTTGTTAGTAAGGAATTTAGTGAAGTTGAGGTTAGATCTAGGATGTCTCTGTTAAATTTGTTCTCAGCTTTTCAAACTTGGGCAGGCCATAATCTTGCCGGCGAAATGACGATTTAAGTCGCCAAAGAATTTTGAAAATCGCCAAGGGAGCTACCATTTGATTTTTATGGGGGGCTAGGATCTGAGACTACTATAACACAGTGTTATAGTAGTCTCAGGCTAGGATGAAATTTGAAAAAAATAGGCAGGACAGCAGTATTGGGTAAAAAAAAAGGCAGGATGAGATTATTTGCAAAAAAAAAAAAAAAAGGCAGGATGACAATTTATGTAAAAAAAAAAGTCAGGATAACCTAAAAAAAAAAAAAGGCAGGACCGAATAGAGTGAAAAATAAAAAGGCAGGACCGAATAGAGGGAAAAATAAAAAGACAGGACAAAATTTTTCATCCTAGCCCCCCCATAAAAATCAAATGGTAGCTTCCTAAATCTCGCCAGCCGACTGACTTCATGGCGAAGTCAAATCGCTATGAAAATCGGTAAAAGGGAGACAACTTGTGAATTACAAGTCTCCCAGGTAAAAAAAAAAAGGGGACTGACGAGGAAAATCGAGATTTTCGAAACGACCTAGGAGGCCCCAGAACACAGTTATTTCGTAGTGCATTTCTTTTAGACAATAAATTCAAATTAAAAAAATCGCACCTCCTCTATCTCAAAAAGATTTTTACAGTGTAGTGTACTACTATTGATACAAATAATATCAAAATTATAGAAACTTCTACCAGCTCTAACTCAAAATATTGACAATTCTGTGTTAAGGGGGGCTAAAATTCAGTTTGACAGCTTCAGACATTCTAATTTTTGACCTTTTTTAACTGGACCAAATCACTACTTAACATAAAGATTCAGCACCCAAATTTTTTTAACATGTAATTTCATCCCCTTACTTAATATTTCATGCATAAAATATCAAGAAATGAATTGGGAAAGTGTATCGAAAAAAAATGCAAGTTATACACTGTTTACACTAGGGACTATATTCGTAGACAACGAAAACCGAAGGACGATAACTGTGTCCTTGGACCAGGACTAATACTGTCGACGATCAAATTAAATAAATACAACGGCGACTTTGAACATCCTCGGATATAACATTAATAAAATGCTCCGCAGGGCGCAGCTTGATACGACCGCAGAGGTCGAACCCTGAACAGTTGGGGGAAGTATGGACACAACATTCAAGCTTGATACAGCTTTGGATTTGGATTGTTATTAAATATTTGACACAGCATAGGTTTCTAACACAGATTGAATGTGGTCTAAGAACTTAAAAATTTTAAATTGGACATTCACCTATTATGGTCCAATATCCAAAATCTAAATACATGGTTAGATTCAGCATATCAAAGAACCCCAAGAATTCAATTTTTGATGAAATCAAACAAAGTTTAATTTTGGACCCTTTTGACCTCAATGTGGACAAAGTTGATAACGGGGCCCAAAAATCAAAAATCTAAATACATGGTTAGATTCAGCATATCAAAAAACCCCATATATTCAATTTTTGTTGAAATCAAACATAGTTTAATTTTGGACCCCGATTTGGACCAACTTGAAAACTGGGCCCATAATCAAAAATCTAAATACATGTTTAGATTCAGCATATCAAAGAACCCTAAGAATTCAATTTTTGTTAAAATCAAACTAAGTTTAATTTTGGACCCTTTGGACCTTAATGTAGACCAATTTGAAAACGGAACCAAAATTTAAGAATCTAAATACACAGTTAGATTCGGCATATCAAAGAACCCCAATAATTCAATTTTTGATGAAATCAAACAAAGTTTAATTTTGGACCCTTTGGACCTCAATGTGGACCAATTTAAAAACGGGGCCCAAAATCCAAAAACTAAATACACGGTTAGATTCAGCATATTAAAGAACCCCATGAAATCAAGAATAAAACCCCATTGAAATTGGTCAAGAAATAAGCAATTTATAGGAAGTATCTTCTTTTGCACAATCCTGTGCTATTAAATATTTCTTGCTATTGCGCAATACTGTACAATTGACAATTTCTTGCTATTGCGCAATATTGTGCTATTGGATATTTCTTGCTATTGCGCAATACTGTGCAATTGAAGATTTCTTGCTATTGCGCAATACTGTGCAATAGAAGATTTCTTGCTATTGTGCAATACTGTGCAATTGAAAATTTCTTGCTATTGCACAATACTTATTATATAATAATTTACACATCCTGTTTGGTGTGTATCTCCTACCATATCATTATTATTTGATTTTAAATATAAATCAGAAATAACCAACTTAAAATGGAAAATTTTAAAAGAAACAAAAAAGGAAAAAAAGAAAAAAAAGGAAAAAAAAATAAATCCCCCCCCAAAATTTTTTGAACCCCCATTATGATTCATCACCCCCAAACTCAATCCCAGCCTTCCCTTTGTGGTATGGTACCTTGCAGTACAATTTCAGAGAGATCCATACACTTGAACGCAAGTTATTGTCTGGAAACTAGAAAAAAATGTGTTTTTTGGCCCCTTTTTGGCCCCAAATTCCTAAACGTTAAGGGCAATTACCCCCAAACTCAAACCCAGCTTTCCCTTTGTGATATGGAACCTTGTAGTACAATTTCAGAAAGATCCATACACTTACACTCAAGTTATTGTCATGAAACTAGAAAAATGCTTGTTTTTTGCCCCTTTTTTGGCCCCCAATTCCTAAAATTTGGAGGCAATTACCCCCAAAATCAATCCCAGCATTCCTTTAGTGATATGGAACCTTGTGGTACAATGTCAGAGAGATCCATACACTAACACACAAGTTATGTCTGGAAGTTACAAAAATGCTTATTTTTGGCCCCTTTTTGACCCCTAATTCCTTTACTGTTATTACCATAACCCCCAAAATCAATCCCAACCTTCCTTTTGTGGTATTGAACCTTGTGGTAAAATTTCATAAAGATCCATTCACTTAAACTAAAGTTAAGTGCGAAAACCAATGTGTCTTCGGACGACGACGACGCCAACGTCATACCAATATACGACCACAAAAATTTTTTTGCGGTCGTATAAAAACTATTCAAACGGAAAACTGTTGAAGTTATCATTTTACGATGATTTTTATCTGAGGATGTTGCGTAATCACTCAGCTGATTTGTTTTATTTTTATTTATTACGAGTAGATCAAATTGTACTATTCGGTAGGTAAAGGGTGGGAATTAACGGTAGATTTATTATATTCATTGAATAAAAATTGAAATATAAAAGGTAGAAAGACAGCTGATAGATAATGTGATTGCAAACGTACGACACTCGACCAGCTGTTATCAGCAGTGGATTTTTTTTCAAGACCATTTCGTTGATAGGGAAGATATCTTTAAAAAATGATAGAAATTAGCTGTTTATCGGTTAATTAATATGTGATTGACAGATATTTTCATTTATAGGCTTACAATCTTTAACAAGAATCTCAATTTACAACTACATGTAATATGATGTCCTGGACATACAATAATGTTTTACAAAATAATGACAAAGTGGTGATATAAATTAAATTCCCAGTCATGTGAAATTCATCAGGTAAACTGGGAGTCATATTTTTCTGGACATTTAAAAATAAATTGAGGCAGATGCACATGAATTTAATGCATCATAATATTACTAGGCTACTCCCTCGAGACTCCCTCATGTCCCAAGCAACAACTTTTATTTAAACTTAAATTCAAGTTGACAGTACAAATGGTATCAATGAATAAATAACAACTATATTGTCTAAACCTTTTTGTTAAGAACTTTCTTTATATACATTTTGTACAATAACATGAAAAAAACTGCAAGTATATTTTTTATTGCATATAAAACAATTTCCTTAGTGATAAGCACGAGAACACTATGCAACCGAAACGGTAATGGAATCTCACTTCTCCATTCTCTCTCATGGAAGGAGAAGTCACTTCTCCCTCTCCAAAATCCTAGATTAGGCCCTGCTTGGGCAATTAAGATCTTGTCATATTGTTCAGGTATTTGTCTATTGTTGAAGAATGTGTGCTGATCTCTTGTATTTTGTGTTGTTGGGTTGCCATCTCATTAATGTATACCAGATACCATCCTTTTATTCAAAGTTTGGTAAGAGCATGCAGTTGTTTTTTTCAGATATCAAAAGCCTATTGAGTTATAGCCCATAATAGGTTAGACATACATTTTGTGTGTGTGTCGAAGTATACAATTATGATTTCATAATGAAACAAGCTCAACATTATATTGCAACAATCCAATTTTGTGTATTGAAAAAATATCGTGTTCATTTCCCTTAAACAAATATTTGAGTAGGCAACCCATGTAAAATAATTGTGTATTTATTTTAAATATAGTATTACTTTCAGAAGTTTTAATATCCCTCTTAGTTTTATGAGAGGTATTAAGAGTTTTAACTATTATTAAACATCATAACACCATTATAAAACAGAACATTGATTTATTCTTCATTTGCTTATAAACAATACACAGTAATCCTTCATAAGTTTATAATCAATACACAATCTTCCCAAAAATATCAACATAAAAATTGGAGTTCTGTGTTTTTTGTGTTCATATTATTAGATGGAATGTCTGATTAAATGCTGTCAACTGTTATTAACACAGTACTTCTTAGTTATAGCCATAAATTAACTGTAACCAGTCTGTTCACCTAGTCCATGTACGAGGAAAGATGTAGCTATCATCAATGGAAAAATCCATGCAAGGGCAAAATGGACATGTTGAAACGTCTGATCTCATCCAAGTGCAACCAGACTGCAAAGTAAATGTTTAAATTTTAAAAATATAGCATTAATATAATCTGAAATTTTCAACATTCTTGTAACAATGTTTTCTGCTTACTGAAAATTTGAGATGACTTCAAAATTGTAAAAGTGAAAAGTATTCAATGTTTTAACATAAAATTGAAAAATATCCTGTAGACTCCTTTAGAAATTATACAATTTCAAAATAACCTCTTCTAAATATGCCAAGTAAAAATAATAGACCTTTGTATAATAAATATTAGAAGTATCAGATAAAATCACATAAATATGTTCATTCCAATGATTTTTTTTATTAGAAAATTGCATTCCTGCACCAAATTTTGCTGACTTGATTGAATATCTAGACCTATTGTGTTCTGCTATTTTACAATATAAGATACTGAAAGACAGCAATACTACCCTTAGGGCAATAACTTCTATACAACTTTTACAATTTTGAAATCATCTCAAATTTTCAGCTATATCATACCCTCATAATATTGGCTATGTTGACCTGTTTGTAAATCTTGTCTTACTGATCATTTTAGCCTTTCAAAATAATATGAAATAAATGTGGATAGTGTCCACATGTGGACACAGATGATGCCCCCGCTTGCATATCATATAGTTATAAAGGGACATAACTGAAGAACAGTAAAAGTGACGCTACCCAAATTTTAACTTGATCTGAGTTTTGTGGTAATAAGCGTTGTGTGTAAGTCTCATAACATTTGGTTGAGGCTAACTTAAGTAGAGAACAGAAACTAAAAATTCAGCAATTTTTCTATTTGTAAACATGCATAACTCTAGAACGGTTGTGTATAAGTTTTACAACATTTGGTTGAGACAAACTAAAAAATTCAGCAATTTTTATGTTTATAAAGGGACATAACTCTAGAATGGTAAAAGTGTTGCCACCTAATTTCGTACTTAATCTGTATTATGTAGTAATAAGCATTGTGTATAAGTTTCATAACATTTGGTTGAGGCAAACTCAAGTTAGAGAACTGAAACAAAAAAATTGTACTTGATCCTTACTGAGTTTTGTGGTAATGAATATTGTGTATATGTTTCATAATGTTTGGCTGGGGAAAACATCAGTTACAGAATGGAAACTAAAAAATTTTGCAATCGTTCTATTTATAAAGGGGCATAACTCAATAATGGTTAAAGTGACACTACCCAAATTCAACTTGATCTGTGTTTTATCAGTGGAAGTCAAAATTAAACATTGCATTGTATAAAGCATTGATTGTAGTTGATTCAACTATAATCATGGTCAAAGGAAGATAACTCCAATTTTAAAAATATATTATATAAACTTGATATTTAGAAGAAAATAAAAATTTTGCAATTTTTCCTTTTATAAAGGGGCATAACTCTAGATCGGTTAAAGTGACACCACCAAAATTCAAACTTGATCTGTGTTTTGTGGTAATAAGCATTGTGTATAAGTTTCATAACATTTGGTTGAGGCAAACTCAAGTTAGAGAACGGAAACCAATTTCGGGACGTACAGACGGACAAGGGTAAAACTTAATGCCCCCTCCGCTACGGCAGGGGCATAAAAATTAGTTAAGTAAATGAAGTCGTCCCTTCCTGAGAGTTTTGAAGTCATATTTTATCTGTAGCACTTTTCAAGATAAAAGACAAAATTTGCATTTTACCCCTATGTTCTATTTTCAGCCATATTGGTTGGCAGACAGGATCATCAGATACATTTTAAAAGCTAGATAACCTAATGATCCAAAATCCATAGGCACCTAAATACCCTTAAGATTTTCTCCATTAAGTTTTATCTTCTATCCCATCACAGTGGATACAATTTATTAATTTGTGTCGTCTACAAATGAGAACTTTTTGAAACCTATTTAAATTTTTTTTGGTAATGGTATGCATCAATTTTAAGACACCTTATATAACATATATCTTCATGTGCCCTATGCATGTCTAAATGTTTGTATTGGTTCTGTATTCTAAAGTGAGATTGTTCTTCAATTCATGACAGTATTTGTTTGACAGATATAATTTATAATTTGCTCTTTTACCCAGCATCTCTGTTTTACAGATGCAGCCTGATCGACAGCTAGTAAAAATTTTTACTCAAACTGGTACTAGGGGCTATCATAAAATTGCAGTGAGGTTAAGACTTTCACTCCAAATATGGGATGAAAAAACAATGCTCCTTTCTTAGTGTTTTTTTTTAGCAGTCATTTAGTGTTAAAACATAATTGGTACACTAATCATTTCTTTTTTAACCAAATTTTTAACTTGTATAATTTTCTTACTGAGTAAAAATTTTAATCAAAAATTAACACACCATATCTGTCTGCTTAATTGGTAGGTTCATCAGTTAGTTCCTAGTCACCGAAGTCATCCATCTTGCTGCACCATTTCCATGTGTCTGTTTGGTTGGTTGGTTGTAGCATCAGTTGGTCAGTTGGAACACCATGTACCATCTTGAATTCTCTGATTTTGAGTTGGTTCAGTGGTTGCTAGGCAGATGGCTTCTTTTGAGTAGTTGATCTGTAGTCGTCTCTGGTGGAGTTTGTGGCGAGACAAAAATTCAACAACTTGCAAAGAAATACATGTAGAGAAACTATGCTCAAAATTACCTCATTCTGTGTTGCTTTTAAAATTTTCAATTCATGCTGCCTTTACAAATTATCAAATTTTTGCTTCACCACATTCTGTCCTCTAATCAGGTTTTGGTCACAGTCCCCTCACACATCACACACCATATCTGTTTGTTGTCTGGTTTATCGGTTAGTCCCTAGTCACCAAAGGCATCCATCTTGCTGCACCATTTCCATGTGTCTGTTTGGTTGGTTGGTCGTAGCATCAGTTGGTCAGTTGGAACACCATGTACCATCTTGAATTCTCTAATTTTGAGTTGGTTCAGTGGTTTATCATCAGCATGGCTTCCTTCGAGTAGTTGATCTGTAGTAGTCTCTGGTTGAGTTTGTGGTGAGACAAAAAATCAACAACTTGCAAAGAAATACATGTAAAGAAACTATGCTAAAAATTACCTCATTCTGTGTTGCTTTTTAAATTTTCAATTCATGCTGCCTTTACAAATTATTAAATTTTTGCTTCACCACATTCTGTTCTCTAATCAGGTTTTGGTCACAGTCCCCTCACACATCACACACCATATCTGTTTGTTGTCTGGTTTATCGGTTGGTCCCTAGTCACCAAAGGCATCCATCTTGCTGCACCATTTCCATGTGTCTGTTTGGTTGGTTGGTCATAGCATCAGTTGGTCAGTTGGAACACCATATACCATCTTGAATTCTCTGATTTTGAGTTGGTTCAGTGGTTGCTAGGCAGATGGCTTCTTTTGAGTAGTTGATCTGTAGTTGTCTCTGGTGGAGTTTGTGGTGAGACAAAAATTCAACAACTTGCAAAGAAATACATGTAAAGAAACTATGCTAAAAATTACCTCATTCTGTATTGCATTTTAAATTTTCAATTCATGCTGCCTTTACAAATTATTAAATTTTTGCTTCACCACGTTCTGTCCTCTAATCAGGTTTTGGTCACAGTCCCCTCACACATCACACACCATATCTGTTTGTTGTCTGGTTTATTGGTTGGTCCATCAGTTGGTCCCTAGTCACCAAAGGCATCCATCTTGCTGCACCATTTCCATGTGTCTGTTTGGTTGGTTGGTCGTAGCATCAGTTGGTTAGTTGGAACACCATGTACCATCTTGAATTCTCTAATTTTGAGTTGGTTCAGTGGTTTATCATCAGCATGGCTTCTTTTGAGTAGTTGATCTGTAGTCGTCTCTGGTTGAGTTTGTGATGAGACAAAAATTCAACAACTTGCAAAGAAAAACATGTATAGAAACTATGCTAAAAATTACCTCATTCTGTGTTGCTTTTTAAATTTTCAATTCATGCTGCCTTTACAAATTATCAAATTTTTGCTTCACCACATTCTGTCCTCTAATCAGGTTTTGGTCACAGTCCCCTCACACATCACACACCATATCTGTTTGTTGTCTGGTTTATCGGTTGGTCCCTAGTCACCAAAGGCATCCATCTTGCTGCACCATTTCCATGTGTCTGTTTGGTTGGTTGGTTGTAGCATCAGTTGGTCAGTTGGAACACCATGTACCATCTTGAATTCTCTAATTTAGAGTTGGTTCAGTGGTTTATCATCAGCATGGCTTCTTTTGAGTAGTTGATCTGTAGTCGTCTCTGGTTGAGTTTGTGATGAGACAAAAATTCAACAACTTGCAAAGAAATACATGTAAAGAAACTATGCTAAAAATTACCTCATTCTGTATTGCATTTTAAATTTTCAATTCATGCTGCCTTTACAAATTATTAAATTTTTGCTTCACCACGTTCTGTCCTCTAATCAGGTTTTGGTCACAGTCCCCTCACACATCACACACCATATCTGTTTGTTGTCTGGTTTATTGGTTGGTCCATCAGTTGGTCCCTAGTCACCAAAGGCATCCATCTTGCTGCACCATTTCCATGTGTCTGTTTGGTTGCTTGGTCGTAGCATCAGTTGGTTAGTTGGAACACCATGTACCATCTTGAATTCTCTAATTTTGAGTTGGTTCAGTGGTTTATCATCAGCATGGCTTCTTTTGAGTAGTTGATCTGTAGTCGTCTCTGGTTGAGTTTGTGATGAGACAAAAATTCAACAACTTGCAAAGAAATACATGTAAAGAAACTATGCTAAAAATTACCTCATTCTGTGTTGCTTTTTAAATTTTCAATTCATGCTGCCTTTACAAATTATCAAATTTTTGCTTCACCACATTCTGTCCTCTAATCAGGTTTTGGTCACAGTCCCCTCACACATCACACACCATATCTGTTTGTTGTTTGGTTTATCAGTTGGTCCCTAGTCACCAAAGGCATCCATCTTGCTGCACCGTTTCCATGTGTCTGTTTGTTTGGTTGGTTGGTTGTAGCATCAGTTGGTCAGTTGGAACACCATGTACCATTTTAAATTCTCTAATTTTGAGTTGGTTCAGTGCTTGCAGGTCAGCATGGCTTCTTTTGAGTAGTTGATCTGTAGTTGTCTCTGGTGGAGTTTGTGGTGAGACAAAAATTCAACAACTTGCAAAGAAAAACATGTATAGAAACTATGCTAAAAATTACCTCATTCTGTGTTGCTTTTTAAATTTTCAATTCATGCTGCCTTTACAAATTATCAAATTTTTGCTTCACCACATTCTGTCCTCTAATCAGGTTTTGGTCACAGTCCCCTCACACATCACACACCATATCTGTTTGTTGTCTGGTTTATCGGTTGGTCCCTAGTCACCAAAGGCATCCATCTTGCTGCACCGTTTCCATGTGTCTGTTTGGTTGGTTGGTAGTAGCATCAGTTGGTCAGTTGGAACACCATGTACCATCTTGAATTCTCTAATTTTGAGTTGGTTCAGTGGTTGATCGTCAGCAAGGCTTCTTTTGAGTAGTTGATCTGTAGTCGTCTCTGATGGAGTTTGTGGTGAGACAAAAATTCAACAACTTGCAAAGAAATACATGTAAAGAAACTATGCTAAAAATTACCTCATTCTGTGTTGCTTTTTAAATTTTCAATTCATGCTGCCTTTACAAATTATCAAATTTTTGCTTCACCACATTCTGTTCTCTAATCAGGTTTTGGTCACAGTCCCCTCACACATCACACACCATATCTGTTTGTTGTCTAGTTTATTGGTTGGTCCATCAGTTGGTCCCTAGTCACCAAAGGCATCCATCTTGTTGCACCATTTCCATAAGTCTGTTTGGTTGGTTGGTCATAGCATCAGTTGGTCAGTTGGAACACCATGTACCATCTTGAATTCTCTAATTTTGAGTTGGTTCAGTGGTTTATCATCAGCATGGCTTTCTTTGAGTAGTTGATCTGTAGCCGTTTCTGGTGGATTTTGTGGCGAGACAAAAATTCAACAACTTGCAAAGAAATACATGTAAAGAAACTATGCTAAAAATTACATCATTCTGTATTGCATTTTAAATTTTCAATTCATGCTGCCTTTACAAATTATTAAATTTTTGCTTCACCACGTTCTGTCCTCTAATCAGGTTTTGGTCACAGTCCCCTCACACATCACACACCATATCTGTTTGTTGTCTGGTTTATCTGTTGGTCCCTAGTCACCAAAGGCATCCATCTTGCTGCACCATTTCCATGTGTAAGTTTGGTTGGTTGGTTGTAGCATCAGTTGGTCAGTTGGAACACCATGTACCATCTTGAATTCTCTAATTTTGAGTTGGTTCAGTGGTTGATCGTCAGCATGGCTTCTTTTGAGTAGTTGATCTGTAGTTGTCTCTGATGGAGTTTGTGGTGGGACAAAAATTCAACAACTTGCAAAGAAATACATGTAAAGAAACTATGCTAAAAATTACCTCATTCTGTGTTGCTTTTTAAATTTTCAATTCATGCTGCCTTTACAAATTATCAAATTTTTGCTTCACCACATTCTGTCCTCTAATCAGGTTTTGGTCACAGTCCCCTCACACATCACACACCATATCTGTTTGTTGTCTAGTTTATTGGTTGGTCCATCAGTTGGTCCCTAGTCACCAAAGGCATCCATCTTGCTGCACCATTTCCATAAGTCTGTTTGGTTGGTTGGTCATAGCATCACTTGGTCAGTTGGAACACCATGTACCATCTTGAATTCTCTAATTTTGAGTTGGTTCAGTGGTTTATCATCAGCATGGCTTCCTTTGAGTAGTTGATCTGTAGCCGTCTCTGGTGGAGTTTGTGGTGAGACAAAAATTCAACAATTGCAAAGAAATACATGTAAAGAAACTATGCTAAAAATTACCTCATTCTGTATTGCATTTTAAATTTTCAATTCATGCTGCCTTTACAAATTATTAAATTTTTGCTTCACCACGTTCTGTCCTCTAATCAGGTTTTGGTCACAGTCCCCTCACACATCACACACCATATCTGTTTGTTGTCTGGTTTATCTGTTGGTCCCTAGTCACCAAAGGCATCCATCTTGCTGCACCGTTTCCATGTGTCTGTTTGGTTGGTTGGTTGTAGCATCAGTTGGTCAGTTGGAACACCATGTACCATCTTGAATTCTCTAATTTTGAGTTGGTTCAGTGGTTGATCGTCAGCATGGCTTCTTTTGAGTAGTTGATCTGTAGTTGTCTCTGGTGGAGTTTGTGGTGAGACAAAAATTCAACAACTTGCAAAGAAAAACATGTATAGAAACTATGCTAAAAATTACCTCATTCTGTGTTGCTTTTTAAATTTTCAATTCATGCTGCCTTTACAAATTATCAAATTTTTGCTTCACCACATTCTGTCCTCTAATCAGGTTTTGGTCACAGTCCCCTCACACATCACACACCATATCTGTTTGTTGTCTGGTTTATCGGTTGGTCCCTAGTCACCAAAGGCATCCATCTTGCTGCACCATTTCCATGTGTCTGTTTGGTTGGTTGGTTGTAGCATCAGTTGGTCAGTTGGAACACCATGTACCATCTTGAATTCTCTAATTTTGAGTTGGTTCAGTGGTTGATCGTCAGCATGGCTTCTTTTGAGTAGTTGATCTGTAGTCGTCTCTGATGGAGTTTGTGGTGAGACAAAAATTCAACAACTTGCAAAGAAATACATGTAAAGAAACTATGCTAAAAATTACCTCATTCTGTGTTGCTTTTTAAATTTTCAATTCATGCTGCCTTTACAAATTATCAATTTTTTGCTTCACCACATTCTGTTCTCTAATCAGGTTTTGGTCACAGTCCCCTCACACATCACACACCATATCTGTTTGTTGTCTAGTTTATTGGTTGGTCCATCAGTTGGTCCCTAGTCACCAAAGGCATCCATCTTGTTGCACCATTTCCATAAGTCTGTTTGGTTGGTTGGTCATAGCATCAGTTGGTCAGTTGGAACACCATGTACCATCTTGAATTCTCTAATTTTGAGTTGGTTCAGTGGTTTATCATCAGCATGGCTTTCTTTGAGTAGTTGATCTGTAGCCGTCTCTGGTGGATTTTGTGGCGAGACAAAAATTCAACAACTTGCAAAGAAATACATGTAAAGAAACTATGCTAAAAATTACATCATTCTGTATTGCATTTTAAATTTTCAATTCATGCTGCCTTTACAAATTATTAAATTTTTGCTTCACCACGTTCTGTCCTCTAATCAGGTTTTGGTCACAGTCCCCTCACACATCACACACCATATCTGTTTGTTGTCTGGTTTATCGGTTGGTCCCTAGTCACCAAAGGCATCCATCTTGCTGCACCGTTTCCATGTGTCTGTTTGGTTGGTTGGTTGTAGCATCAGTTGGTCAGTTGGAACACCATGTACCATCTTAAATTCTCTAATTTTGAGTTGGTTCAGTGGTTGATCGTCAGCATGGCTTCTTTTGAGTAGTTGATCTGTAGTCGTCTCTGATGGAGTTTGTGGTGAGACAAAAATTCAACAACTTGCAAAGAAATACATGTAAAGAAACTATGCTAAAAATTACCTCATTCTGTGTTGCTTTTTAAATTTTCAATTCATGCTGCTTTTACAAATTATCAAATTTTTGCTTCACCACATTCTGTCCTCTAATCAGGTTTTGGTCACAGTCCCCTCACACATCACACACCATATCTGTTTGTTGTCTAGTTTATTGGTTGGTCCATCAGTTGGTCCCTAGTCACCAAAGGCATCCATCTTGCTGTACCATTTTCATAAGTCTGTTTGGTTGGTTGGTCATAGCATCAGTTGGTTAGTTGGAACACCATGTACCATCTTGAATTCTCTAATTTTGAGTTGGTTCAGTGGTTTATCATCAGCATGGCTTTCTTTGAGTAGTTGATCTGTAGCCGTCTCTGGTGGATTTTGTGGTGAGACAAAAATTCAACAACTTGCAAAGAAATACATGTAAAGAAACTATGCTAAAAATTACATCATTCTGTATTGCATTTTAAATTTTCAATTCATGCTGCCTTTACAAATTATTAAATTTTTGCTTCACCACGTTCTGTCCTCTAATCAGGTTTTGGTCACAGTCCCCTCACACATCACACACCATATCTGTTTGTTGTCTGGTTTATCTGTTGGTCCCTAGTCACCAAAGGCATCCATCTTGCTGCACTGTTTCCATGTGTGTGTTTGGTTGGTTGGTTGTAGCATCAGTTGGTCAGTTGGAACACCATGTACCATCTTAAATTCTCTAATTTTGAGTTGGTTCAGTGCTTGCTAGTCAGCATGGCTTCTTTTGAGTAGTTGATCTGTAGTTGTCTCTGGTTGAGTTTGTGGCGAGATAAAAATTCAACAACTTGCAAAGAAAAACATGTATAGAAACTATGCTAAAAATTACCTCATTCTGTGTTGCTTTTTAAATTTTCAATTCATGCTGCCTTTACAAATTATCAAATTTTTGCTTCACCACATTCTGTCCTCTAATCAGGTTTTGGTCACAGTCCCCTCACACATCACACACCATATCTGTTTGTTGTCTGGTTTATCGGTTGGTCCCTAGTCACCAAAGGCATCCATCTTGCTGCACCATTTCCATGTGTCTGTTTGGTTGGTTGGTTGTAGCATCAGTTGGTCAGTTGGAACACCATGTACCATCTTGAATTCTCTAATTTTGAGTTGGTTCAGTGGTTGATCGTCAGCATGGCTTCTTTTGAGTAGTTGATCTGTAGTCGTCTCTGATGGAGTTTGTGGTGAGACAAAAATTCAACAACTTGCAAAGAAATAAATGTAAAGAAACTATGCTAAAAATTACCCCATTCTGTGTTGCTTTTTAAATTTTCAATTCATGCTGCCTTTACAAATTATCAAATTTTTGCTTCACCACATTCTGTCCTCTAATCAGGTTTTGGTCACAGTCCCCTCACACATCACACACCATATCTGTTTGTTGTCTAGTTTATTGGTTGGTCCATCAGATGGTCCCTAGTCACCAAAGGCATCCATCTTGCTGTACCATTTCCATGTGTCTGTTTGGTTGGTTGGTCATAGCATCAGTTGGTCAGTTGGAACACCATGTACCATCTTGAATTCTCTAATTTTGAGTTGGTTCAGTGGTTTATCATCAGCATGGCTTCCTTTGAGTAGTTGATCTGTAGCCGTCTTTGGTGGAGTTTGTGGTGAGACAAAAATTCAACAACTTGCAAAGAAATACATGTAAAGAAACTATGCTAAAAATTACATCATTCTGTATTGCATTTTAAATTTTCAATTCATGCTGCCTTTACAAATTATTAAATTTTTGCTTCACCACATTCTGTCCTCTAATCAGGTTTTGGTAACAGTCCCCTCACACATCACACACCATATCTGTTTGTTGTCTGCTTTATCTGTTGGTCCCTAGTCACCAAAGGCATCCATCTTGCTGCACCGTTTCCATGTGTCTGTTTGGTTGGTTGGTTGTAGCATCAGTTGGTCAGTTGGAACACCATGTACCATCTTGAATTCTCTAATTTTGAGTTGGTTCAGTGGTTGATCGTCAGCATGGCTTCTTTTGAGTAGTTGATCTGTAGTTGTCTCTGGTGGAGTTTGTTGTGAGACAAAAATTCAACAACTTGCAAAGAAAAACATGTATAGAAACTATGCTAAAAATTACCTCATTCTGTGTTGCTTTTTAAATTTTCAATTCATGCTGCCTTTACAAATTATCAAATTTTTGCTTCACCACATTCTGTCCTCTAATCAGGTTTTGGTCACAGTCCCCTCACACATCACACACCATATCTGTTTGTTGTCTGGTTTATCGGTTGGTCCCTAGTCACCAAAGGCATCCATCTTGCTGCACCATTTCCATGTGTCTGTTTGGTTGGTTGGTTGTAGCATCAGTTGGTCAGTTGGAACACCATGTACCATCTTGAATTCTCTAATTTTGAGTTGGTTCAGTGGTTGATCGTCAGCATGGCTTCTTTTGAGTAGTTGATCTGTAGTCGTCTCTGATGGAGTTTGTGGTGAGACAAAAATTCAACAACTTGCAAAGAAATACATGTAAAGAAACTATGCTAAAAATTACCTCATTCTGTGTTGCTTTTTAAATTTTCAATTCATGCTGCCTTTACAAATTATCAATTTTTTGCTTCACCACATTCTGTTCTCTAATCAGGTTTTGGTCACAGTCCCCTCACACATCACACACCATATCTGTTTGTTGTCTAGTTTATTGGTTGGTCCATCAGTTGGTCCCTAGTCACCAAAGGCATCCATCTTGCTGCACCATTTCCATAAGTTTGGTTGGTTGGTTGGTCATAGCATCAGTTGGTCAGTTGGAACACCATGTACCATCTTGAATTCTCTAATTTTGAGTTGGTTCAGTGGTTTATCATCAGCATGGCTTTCTTTGAGTAGTTGATCTGTAGCCGTCTCTGGTGGATTTTGTGGCGAGACAAAAATTCAACAACTTGCAAAGAAATACATGTAAAGAAACTATGCTAAAAATTACATCATTCTGTATTGCATTTTAAATTTTCAATTCATGCTGCCTTTACAAATTATTAAATTTTTGCTTCACCACGTTCTGTCCTCTAATCAGGTTTTGGTCACAGTCCCCTCACACATCACACACCATATCTGTTTGTTGTCTGGTTTATCTGTTGGTCCCTAGTCACCAAAGGCATCCATCTTGCTGCACCGTTTCCATGTGTCTGTTTGGTTGGTTGGTTGTAGCATCAGTTGGTCAGTTGGAACACCATGTACCATCTTAAATTCTCTAATTTTGAGTTGGTTCAGTGGTTGATCGTCAGCATGGCTTCTTTTGAGTAGTTGATCTGTAGTCGTCTCTGATGGAGTTTGTGGTGAGACAAAAATTCAACAACTTGCAAAGAAATACATGTAAAGAAACTATGCTAAAAATTACCTCATTCTGTGTTGCTTTTTTTAATTTTCAATTCATGCTGCTTTTACAAATTATCAAATTTTTGCTTCACCACATTCTGTCCTCTAATCAGGTTTTGGTCACAGTCCCCTCACACATCACACACCATATCTGTTTGTTGTCTAGTTTATTGGTTGGTCCATCAGTTGGTCCCTAGTCACCAAAGGCATCCATCTTGCTGTACCATTTTCATAAGTCTGTTTGGTTGGTCATAGCATCAGTTGGTTAGTTGGAACACCATGTACCATCTTGAATTCTCTAATTTTGAGTTGGTTCAGTGGTTTATCATCAGCATGGCTTTCTTTGAGTAGTTGATCTGTAGCCGTCTCTGGTGGATTTTGTGGTGAGACAAAAATTCAACAACTTGCAAAGAAATACATGTAAAGAAACTATGCTAAAAATTACATCATTCTGTATTGCATTTTAAATTTTCAATTCATGCTGCCTTTACAAATTATTAAATTTTTGCTTCACCACGTTCTGTCCTCTAATCAGGTTTTGGTCACAGTCCCCTCACACATCACACACCATATCTGTTTGTTGTCTGCTTTATTGGTTGGTCCATCAGTTGGTCCCTAGTCACCAAAGGCATCCATCTTGCTGCACCATTTCCATGTGTCTGTTTGGTTGTTTGGTTGTAGCATCAGTTGGTCAGTTGGAACACCATGTACCATCTTGAATTCTCTAATTTTGAGTTGGTTCAGTGCTTGCTAGTCAGCATGGCTTCTTTTGAGTAGTTGATCTGTAGTTGTCTCTGGTTGAGTTTGTGGTGAGACAAAAATTCAACAACTTGCAAAGAAAAACATGTATAGAAACTATGCTAAAAATTACCTCATTCTGTGTTGCTTTTTAAATTTTCAATTCATGCTGCCTTTACAAATTATCAAATTTTTGCTTCACCACATTCTGTCCTCTAATCAGGTTTTGGTCACAGTCCCCTCACACATCACACACCATATCTGTTTGTTGTCTGGTTTATTGGCTGGTCCCTAGTCACCAAAGGCATCCATCTTGCTGCACCGTTTCCATGTGTCTGTTTGGTTGGTTGGTTGGTTGTAGCATCAGTTGGTCAGTTGGAACACCATGTACCATCTTGAATTCTCTAATTTTGAGTTGGTTGAGTGGTTTATCATCAGCATGGCTTCCTTTGAGTAGTTGATCTGTAGTCGTCTCTGGTTGAGTTTGTGGTGAGACAAAAATTCAACAACTTGCAAAGAAATACATGTAAAGAAACTATGCTAAAAATTACTTCATTCTGTGTTGCTTTTTAAATTTTCAATTCATGCTGCCTTTACCAATTATCGAATTTTTGCTTCACCACATTCTGTCCTCTAATCAGGTTTTGGTCACAGTCCCCTCACACATCACACACCATATCTGTTTGTTGTCTGGTTCATCTGTTGGTCCCTAGTCACCAAAGGCATCCATCTTCCTGCACCGTTTCCATGTGTCTGTTTGGTTGGTTGGTTGTAGCATCAGTTGGTCAGTTGGAACACCATGTACCATCTTAAATTCTCTAATTTTGAGTTGGTTCAGTGCTTGCTAGTCAGCATGGCTTCTTTTGAGTAGCTGATCTGTAGTTGTCTCTGGTGGAGTTTGTGGTGAGACAAAAATTCAACAACTTGCAAAGAAAAACATGTATAAAACTATGCTAAAAATTACCTCATTCTGTGTTGCTTTTTAAATTTTCAATTCATGCTGCCTTTACAAATTATCAAATTTTTGCTTCACCACATTCTGTCCTCTAATCCGGTTTTGGTCACAGTCCCCTCACACATCACACACCATATCTGTTTGTTGTCTGGTTTATCGGTTGGTCCCTAGTCACCAAAGGCATCCATCTTGCTGCACCATTTCCATGTGTCTGTTTGGTTGGTTGGTTGTAGCATCAGTTGGTCAGTTGGAACACCATGTACCATCTTGAATTCTCTAATTTTGAGTTTGTTCAGTGGTTGATCGTCAGCATGGCTTCTTTTGAGTAGTTGATCTGTAGTCGTCTCTGATGGAGTTTGTGGTGAGACAAAAATTCAACAACTTGCAAAGAAATACATGTAAAGAAACTATGCTAAAAATTACCTCATTCTGTGTTGCTTTTTAAATTTTCAATTCAGGCTGCCTTTACAAATTATCAAATTTTTGCTTCACCACATTCTGTCCTCTAATCAGGTTTTGGTCACAGTCCCCTCACACATCACACACCATATCTGTTTGTTGTCTAGTTTATTGGTTGGTCCATCAGTTGGTCCCTAGTCACCAAAGGCATCCATCTTGCTGCACCATTTCCATAAGTCTGTTTGGTTGGTTGGTCATAGCATCAGTTGGTCAGTTGGAACACCATGTACCATCTTGAATTCTCTAATTTTGAGTTGGTTCAGTGGTTTATCATCAGCATGGCTTCCTTTGAGTAGTTGATCTGTAGCCGTCTCTGGTGGAGTTTGTGGTGAGACAAAAATTCAACAACTTGCAAAGAAATACATGTAAAGAAACTATGCTAAAAATTACATCATTCTGTATTGCATTTTAAATTTTCAATTCATGCTGCCTTTACAAATTATTAAATTTTTGCTTCACCACATTCTGTCCTCTAATCAGGTTTTGGTCACAGTCCCCTCACACATCACACACCATATTTGTTGGTCCCTAGTCACCAAAGGCATCCATCTTGCAGCACCGTTTCCATGTGTCTGTTTGGTTGGTTGGTTGTAGCATCAGTTGGTCAGTTGGAACACCATGTACCATCTTGAATTCTCTAATTTTGAGTTGGTTCAGTGGTTTATCATCAGCATGGCTTCCTTTGAGTAGTTGATCTGTAGTCGTCTCTGGTTGAGTTTGTGGTGAGACAAAAATTCAATCACTTGCAAAGAAATACATGTAAAGAAACTATGCTAAAAATTACCTCATTCTGTGTTGCTTTTTAAATTTTCAATTCATGCTGCCTTTACAAATTATTAAATTTTTGCTTCACCACATTCTGTCCTCTAATCAGGTTTTGGTCACAGTCCCCTCACACATCACACACCATATATGTTTGTTGTCTGGTTTATTGGTTGGTCCCTAGTCACCAAAGGCATCCATCTTGCTGCACCATTTCCATGTGTCTGTTCGGTTGGTTGGTTGTAGCATCAGTTTGTCAGTTGGAACACCATGTACCATCTTGAATTCTCTAAATTTTGAGTTGGTTCAGTGCTTGCTAGTCAGCATGGCTTCTTTTGAGTAGTTGATCTGTAGTTGTCTCTGGTGGAGTTTGTGGTGAGACAAAAATTCAACAACTTGCAAAGAAAAACATGTATAGAAACTATGCTAAAAATTACCTCATTCTGTGTTGCTTTTTTAATTTTCAATTCATGCTGCCTTTACAAATTATCAAATTTTTGCTTCACCACATTCTGTCCTCTAATCAGGTTTTGGCCACAGTCCCCTCACACATCACACACCATATCTGTTTGTTGTCTGGTTTATTGGCTGGTCCCTAGTCACCAAAGGCATCCATCTTGCTGCACCATTTCCATGTGTCTGTTTGGTTGGTTGGTTGGTTGTAGCATCAGTTGGTCAGTTGGAACACCATGTACCATCTTGAATTCTCTAATTTTGAGTTGGTTCAGTGGTTTATCATCAGCATGGCTTCCTTTGAGTAGTTGATCTGTAGTCGTCTCTGGTTGAGTTTGTGGTGAGACAAAAATTCAACAACTTGCAAAGAAATACATGTAAAGAGACTATGCTAAAAATTACCTCATTCTGTGTTGCTTTTTAAATTTTCAATTCAGGCTGCCTTTACAAATTATCAAATTTTTGCTTCACCACATTCTGTCCTCTAATCAGGTTTTGGTCACAGTCCCCTCACACATCACACACCATATCTGTTTGTTGTCTGCTTTATTGGTTGGTCCATCAGTTGGTCCCTAGTCACCAAAGGCATCCATCTTGCTGCACCATTTCCATAAGTCTGTTTGGTTGGTTGTTCATAGCATCAGTTGGTCAGTTGGAACACCATGTACCATCTTGAATTCTCTAATTTTGAGTTGGTTCAGTGGTTTATCATCAGCATGGCTTTCTTTGAGTAGTTGATCTGTAGCCGTCTCTGGTGGATTTTGTGGTGAGACAAAAATTCAACAACTTGCAAAGAAATACATGTAAAGAAACTATGCTAAAAATTACATCATTCTGTATTGCATTTTAAATTTTCAATTCATGCCTTTACAAATTATTAAATTTTTGCTTCACCACGTTCTGTCCTCTAATCAGGTTTTGGTCACAGTCCCCTCACACATCACACACCATATCTGTTTGTTGTCTGGTTTATCTGTTGGTCCCTAGTCACCAAAGGCATCCATCTTGCTGCACCGTTTCCATGTGTGTGTTTGGTTGGTTGGTTGTAGCATCAGTTGGTCAGTTGGAACACCATGTACCATCTTAAATTCTCTAATTTTGAGTTGGTTCAGTGCTTGCTAGTCAGCATGGCTTCTTTTGAGTAGTTGATCTGTAGTTGTCTCTAGTTGTGTTTGTGGCGAGATAAAAATTCAACAACTTGCAAAGAAAAACATGTATAGAAACTATGCTAAAAATTACCTCATTCTGTGTTGCTTTTTAAATTTTCAATTCATGCTGCCTTTACAAATTATCAAATTTTTGCTTCACCACATTCTGTCCTCTAATCAGGTTTTGGTCACAGTCCCCTCACACATCACACACCATATCTGTTTGTTGTGTGGTTTATCGGTTGGTCCCTAGTCACCAAAGGCATCCATCTTGCTGCACCATTTCCATGTGTCTGTTTGGTTGGTTGGTTGTAGCATCAGTTGGTCAGTTGGAACACCATGTACCATCTTGAATTCTCTAATTTTGAGTTGGTTCAGTGGTTGATCGTCAGCATGGCTTCTTTTGAGTAGTTGATCTGTAGTCGTCTCTGATGGAGTTTGTGGTGAGACAAAAATTCAACAACTTGCAAAGAAATACATGTAGAGAAACTATGCTAAAAATTACCTCATTGTGTGTTGCTTTTTAAATTTTCAATTCATGCTGCCTTTACAAATTATCAAATTTTTGCTTCACCACATTCTGTCCTCTAATCAGGTTTTGGTCACAGTCCCCTCACACATCACACACCATATCTGTTTGTTGTCTAGTTTATTGGTTGGTCCATCAGATGGTCCCTAGTCACCAAAGGCATCCATCTTGCTGTACCATTTCCATAAGTCTGTTTGGTTGGTTGGTCATAGCATCAGTTGGTCAGTTGGAACACCATGTACCATCTTGAATTCTCTAATTTTGAGTTGGTTCAGTGGTTTATCATCAGCATGGCTTCCTTTGAGTAGTTGATCTGTAGCCGTCTTTGGTGGAGTTTGTGGTGAGACAAAAATTCAACAACTTGCAAAGAAATACATGTAAAGAAACTATGCTAAAAATTACATCATTCTGTATTGCATTTTAAATTTTCAATTCATGCTGCCTTTACAAATTATTAAATTTTTGCTTCACCACATTCTGTCCTCTAATCAGGTTTTGGTAACAGTCCCCTCACACATCACACACCATATTTGTTGGTCCCTAGTCACCAAAGGCATCCATCTTGCAGCACCGTTTCCATGTGTCTGTTTGGTTGGTTGGTTGTAGCATCAGTTGGTCAGTTGGAACACCATGTACCATCTTGAATTCTCTAATTTTGAGTTGGTTCAGTGGTTTATCATCAGCATGGCTTCCTTTGAGTAGTTGATCTGTAGTCGTCTCTGGTTGAGTTTGTGGTGAGACAAAAATTCAATCACTTGCAAAGAAATACATGTAAAGAAACTATGCTAAAAATTACCTCATTCTGTGTTGCTTTTTAAATTTTCAATTCATGCTGCCTTTACAAATTATTAAATTTTTGCTTCACCACATTCTGTCCTCTAATCAGGTTTTGGTCACAGTCCCCTCACACATCACACACCATATATGTTTGTTGTCTGGTTTATTGGTTGGTCCCTAGTCACCAAAGGCATCCATCTTGCTGCACCATTTCCATGTGTCTGTTCGGTTGGTTGGTTGTAGCATCAGTTTGTCAGTTGGAACACCATGTACCATCTTGAATTCTCTAAATTTTGAGTTGGTTCAGTGCTTGCTAGTCAGCATGGCTTCTTTTGAGTAGTTGATCTGTAGTTGTCTCTGGTGGAGTTTGTGGTGAGACAAAAATTCAACAACTTGCAAAGAAAAACATGTATAGAAACTATGCTAAAAATTACCTCATTCTGTGTTGCTTTTTTAATTTTCAATTCATGCTGCCTTTACAAATTATCAAATTTTTGCTTCACCACATTCTGTCCTCTAATCAGGTTTTGGCCACAGTCCCCTCACACATCACACACCATATCTGTTTGTTGTCTGGTTTATTGGGTGGTCCCTAGTCACCAAAGGCATCCATCTTGCTGCACCATTTCCATGTGTCTGTTTGGTTGGTTGGTTGTAGCATCAGTTGGTCAGTTGGAACACCATGTACCATCTTGAATTCTCTAATTTTGAGTTGGTTCAGTGGTTTATCATCAGCATGGCTTCCTTTGAGTAGTTGATCTGTAGTCGTCTCTGGTTGAGTTTGTGGTGAGACAAAAATTCAACAACTTGCAAAGAAATACATGTAAAGAGACTATGCTAAAAATTACCTCATTCTGTGTTGCTTTTTAAATTTTCAATTCAGGCTGCCTTTACAAATTATCAAATTTTTGCTTCACCACATTCTGTCCTCTAATCAGGTTTTGGTCACAGTCCCCTCACACATCACACACCATATCTGTTTGTTGTCTGCTTTATTGGTTGGTCCATCAGTTGGTCCCTAGTCACCAAAGGCATCCATCTTGCTGCACCATTTCCATAAGTCTGTTTGGTTGGTTGTTCATAGCATCAGTTGGTCAGTTGGAACACCATGTACCATCTTGAATTCTCTAATTTTGAGTTGGTTCAGTGGTTTATCATCAGCATGGCTTTCTTCGAGTAGTTGATCTGTAGCCGTCTCTGGTGGATTTTGTGGCGAGACAAAAATTCAACAACTTGCAAAGAAATACATGTAAAGAAACTATGCTAAAAATTACATCATTCTGTATTGCATTTTAAATTTTCAATTCATGCTGCCTTTACAAATTATTAAATTTTTGCTTCACCACGTTCTGTCCTCTAATCAGGTTTTGGTAACAGTCCCCTCACACATCACACACCATATCTGTTTGTTGTCTGGTTTATCTGTTGGTCCCTAGTCACCAAAGGCATCCATCTTGCTGCACCGTTTCCATGTGTCTGTTTGGTTGGTTGGTTGTAGCATCAGTTGGTCAGTTGGAACACCATGTACCATCTTGAATTCTCTAATTTTGAGTTGGTTCAGTGGTTGATCGTCAGCATGGCTTCTTTTGAGTAGTTGATCTGTAGTCGTCTCTGATGGAGTTTGTGGTGAGACAAAAATTCAACAACTTGCAAAGAAATACATGTAAAGAAACTATGCTAAAAATTACCTCATTCTGTGTTGCTTTTTAAATTTTCAATTCATGCTGCTTTTACAAATTATCAAATTTTTGCTTCACCACATTCTGTCCTCTAATCAGGTTTTGGTCACAGTCCCCTCACACATCACACACCATATCTGTTTGTTGTCTAGTTTATTGGTTGGTCCATCAGTTGGTCCCTAGTCACCAAAGGCATCCATCTTGCTGTACCATTTTCATAAGTCTGTTTGGTTGGTTGGTCATAGCATCAGTTGGTTAGTTGGAACACCATGTACCATCTTGAATTCTCTAATTTTGAGTTGGTTCAGTGGTTTATCATCAGCATGGCTTTCTTTGAGTAGTTGATCTGTAGCCGTCTCTGGTGGATTTTGTGGTGAGACAAAAATTCAACAACTTGCAAAGAAATACATGTAAAGAAACTATGCTAAAAATTACATCATTCTGTATTGCATTTTAAATTTTCAATTCATGCCTTTACAAATTATTAAATTTTTGCTTCACCACGTTCTGTCCTCTAATCAGGTTTTGGTCACAGTCCCCTCACACATCACACACCATATCTGTTTGTTGTCTGGTTTATCTGTTGGTCCCTAGTCACCAAAGGCATCCATCTTGCTGCACCGTTTCCATGTGTGTGTTTGGTTGGTTGGTTGTAGCATCAGTTGGTCAGTTGGAACACCATGTACCATCTTAAATTCTCTAATTTTGAGTTGGTTCAGTGCTTGCTAGTCAGCATGGCTTCTTTTGAGTAGTTGATCTGTAGTTGTCTCTAGTTGTGTTTGTGGCGAGATAAAAATTCAACAACTTGCAAAGAAAAACATGTATAGAAACTATGCTAAAAATTACCTCATTCTGTGTTGCTTTTTAAATTTTCAATTCATGCTGCCTTTACAAATTATCAAATTTTTGCTTCACCACATTCTGTCCTCTAATCAGGTTTTGGTCACAGTCCCCTCACACATCACACACCATATCTGTTTGTTGTCTGGTTTATCGGTTGGTCCCTAGTCACCAAAGGCATCCATCTTGCTGCACCATTTCCATGTGTCTGTTTGGTTGGTTGGTTGTAGCATCAGTTGGTCAGTTGGAACACCATGTACCATCTTGAATTCTCTAATTTTGAGTTGGTTCAGTGGTTGATCGTCAGCATGGCTTCTTTTGAGTAGTTGATCTGTAGTCGTCTCTGATGGAGTTTGTGGTGAGACAAAAATTCAACAACTTGCAAAGAAATACATGTAAAGAAACTATGCTAAAAATTACCTCATTGTGTGTTGCTTTTTAAATTTTCAATTCATGCTGCCTTTACAAATTATCAAATTTTTGCTTCACCACATTCTGTCCTCTAATCAGGTTTTGGTCACAGTCCCCTCACACATCACACACCATATCTGTTTGTTGTCTAGTTTATTGGTTGGTCCATCAGATGGTCCCTAGTCACCAAAGGCATCCATCTTGCTGTACCATTTCCATAAGTCTGTTTGGTTGGTTGGTCATAGCATCAGTTGGTCAGTTGGAACACCATGTACCATCTTGAATTCTCTAATTTTGAGTTGGTTCAGTGGTTTATCATCAGCATGGCTTCCTTTGAGTAGTTGATCTGTAGCCGTCTTTGGTGGAGTTTGTGGTGAGACAAAAATTCAACAACTTGCAAAGAAATACATGTAAAGAAACTATGCTAAAAATTACATCATTCTGTATTGCATTTTAAATTTTCAATTCATGCTGCCTTTACAAATTATTAAATTTTTGCTTCACCACATTCTGTCCTCTAATCAGGTTTTGGTAACAGTCCCCTCACACATCACACACCATATCTGTTTGTTGTCTGCTTTATTGGTTGGTCCATCAGTTGGTCCCTAGTCACCAAAGGCATCCATCTTGCTGCACCATTTCCATGTGTCTGTTTGGTTGTTTGGTTGTAGCATCAGTTGGTCAGTTGGAACACCATGTACCATCTTGAATTCTCTAATTTTGAGTTGGTTCAGTGCTTGCTAGTCAGCATGGCTTCTTTTGAGTAGTTGATCTGTAGTTGTCTCTGGTTGAGTTTGTGGTGAGACAAAAATTCAACAACTTGCAAAGAAAAACATGTATAGAAACTATGCTAAAAATTACCTCATTCTGTGTTGCTTTTTAAATTTTCAATTCATGCTGCCTTTACAAATTATCTAATTTTTGCTTCACCACATTCTGTCCTCTAATCAGGTTTTGGTCACAGTCCCCTCACACATCACACACCATATCTGTTTGTTGTCTGGTTTATTGGCTGGTCCCTAGTCACCAAAGGCATCCATCTTGCTGCACCATTTCCATGTGTCTGTTTGGTTGGTTGGTTGGTTGTAGCATCAGTTGGTCAGTTGGAACACCATGTACCATCTTGAATTCTCTAATTTTGAGTTGGTTCAGTGGTTGATCGTCAGCATGGCTTCTTTTGAGTAGTTGATCTGTAGTCGTCTCTGATGGAGTTTGTGGTGAGACAAAAATTCAACAACTTGCAAAGAAATACATGTATAGAAACTATGCTAAAAATTACCTCATTCTGTGTTGCTTTTTAAATTTTCAATTCAGGCTGCCTTTACAAATTATCAAATTTTTGCTTCACCACATTCTGTCCTCTAATCAGGTTTTGGTCACAGTCCCCTCACACATCACACACCATATCTGTTTGTTGTCTGCTTTATTGGTTGGTCCATCAGTTGGTCCCTAGTCACCAAAGGCATCCATCTTGCTGCACCATTTCCATAAGTCTGTTTGGTTGGTTGGTCATAGCATCAGTTGGTCAGTTGGAACACCATGTACCATCTTGAATTCTCTAATTTTGAGTTGGTTCAGTGGTTTATCATCAGCATGGCTTCCTTTGAGTAGTTGATCTGTAGCCGTCTCTGGTTGAGTTTGTGGTGAGACAAAAATTCAATCACTTGCAAAGAAATACATGTAAAGAAACTATGCTAAAAATTACCTCATTCTGTGTTGCTTTTTAAATTTTCAATTCATGCTGCCTTTACAAATTATTAAATTTTTGCTTCACCACATTCTGTCCTCTAATCAGGTTTTGGTCACAGTCCCCTCACACATCACACACCATATATGTTTGTTGTCTGGTTTATTGGTTGGTCCCTAGTCACCAAAGGCATCCATCTTGCTGCACCATTTCCATGTGTCTGTTCGGTTGGTTGGTTGTAGCATCAGTTTGTCAGTTGGAACACCATGTACCATCTTGAATTCTCTAAATTTTGAGTTGGTTCAGTGCTTGCTAGTCAGCATGGCTTCTTTTGAGTAGTTGATCTGTAGTTGTCTCTGGTGGAGTTTGTGGTGAGACAAAAATTCAACAACTTGCAAAGAAATACATGTATAGAAACTATGCTAAAAATTACCTCATTCTGTGTTGCTTTTTTAATTTTCAATTCATGCTGCCTTTACAAATTATCAAATTTTTGCTTCACCACATTCTGTCCTCTAATCAGGTTTTGGCCACAGTCCCCTCACACATCACACACCATATCTGTTTGTTGTCTGGTTTATTGGGTGGTCCCTAGTCACCAAAGGCATCCATCTTGCTGCACCATTTCCATGTGTCTGTTTGGTTGGTTGGTTGTAGCATCAGTTGGTCAGTTGGAACACCATGTACCATCTTGAATTCTCTAATTTTGAGTTGGTTCAGTGGTTTATCATCAGCATGGCTTCCTTTGAGTAGTTGATCTGTAGTCGTCTCTGGTTGAGTTTGTGGTGAGACAAAAATTCAACAACTTGCAAAGAAATACATGTAAAGAGACTATGCTAAAAATTACCTCATTCTGTGTTGCTTTTTAAATTTTCAATTCAGGCTGCCTTTACAAATTATCAAATTTTTGCTTCACCACATTCTGTCCTCTAATCAGGTTTTGGTCACAGTCCCCTCACACATCACACACCATATCTGTTTGTTGTCTGCTTTATTGGTTGGTCCATCAGTTGGTCCCTAGTCACCAAAGGCATCCATCTTGCTGCACCATTTCCATAAGTCTGTTTGGTTGGTTGTTCATAGCATCAGTTGGTCAGTTGGAACACCATGTACCATCTTGAATTCTCTAATTTTGAGTTGGTTCAGTGGTTTATCATCAGCATGGCTTTCTTTGAGTAGTTGATCTGTAGCCGTCTCTGGTGGATTTTGTGGCGAGACAAAAATTCAACAACTTGCAAAGAAATACATGTAAAGAAACTATGCTAAAAATTACATCATTCTGTATTGCATTTTAAATTTTCAATTCATGCTGCCTTTACAAATTATTAAATTTTTGCTTCACCACGTTCTGTCCTCTAATCAGGTTTTGGTAACAGTCCCCTCACACATCACACACCATATCTGTTTGTTGTCTGCTTTATTGGTTGGTCCATCTGTTGGTCCCTAGTCACCAAAGGCATCCATCTTGCTGCACCGTTTCCATGTGTCTGTTTGGTTGGTTGGTCGTAGCATCAGTTGGTCAGTTGGAACACCATGTACCATCTTGAATTCTCTAATTTTGAGTTGGTTCAGTGGTTTATCATCAGCATGGCTTCCTTTGAGTAGTTGATCTGTAGTCGTCTCTGGTTGAGTTTGTGGTGAGACAAAAATTCAACAACTTGCAAAGAAATACATGTAAAGAAACTATGCTCAAAATTACCTCATTCTGTGTTGCTTTTTAAATTTTCAATTCATGCTGCCTTTACAAATTATCAAATTTTTGCTTCACCACATTCTGTCCTCTAATCAGGTTTTGGTCACAGTCCCCTCAAACATCACAAACCATATCTGTTTGTTGTATGGTTTATTGGTTGGTCCCTAGTCACCAAAGGCATCCATCTTGCTGCACCGTTTCCATGTGTCTGTTTGGTTGGTTGGTCGTAGCATCAGTTGGTCAGTTGGAACACCATGTACCATCTTGAATTCTCTAATTTTGAGTTGGTTCAGTGGTTTATCATCAGCATGGCTTCCTTTGAGTAGTTGATCTGTAGTCGTCTCTGGTTGAGTTTGTGGTGAGACAAAAATTCAACAACTTGCAAAGAAATACATGTAAAGAAACTATGCTAAAAATTACCTCATTCTGTGTTGCTTTTTAAATTTTCAATTCATGCTGCCTTTACAAATTATTAAATTTTTGCTTCACCACATTCTGTCCTCTAATCAGGTTTAGGTCACAGTCCCCTCACACATCACACACCATATCTGTTTGTTGTCTGCTTTATTGGTTGGTCCATCAGTTGGTCACTAGTCACCAAAGGCATCCATCTTGCTGCACCGTTTCCATGTGTCTGTTTGGTTGGTTGGTTGTAGCATCAGTTGGTCAGTTGGAACACCATGTACCATCTTGAATTCTCTAATTTTGAGTTGGTTCAGTGGTTTATCATCAGCATGGCTTCCTTTGAGTAGTTGATCTGTAGTCGTCTCTGGTTGAGTTTGTGGTGAGACAAAAATTCAACAACTTGCAAAGAAATACATGTAAAGAAACTATGCTCAAAATTACCTCATTCTGTGTTGCTTTTTAAATTTTCAATTCATTCTGCCTTTACAAATTATCAAATTTTTGCTTCACCACATTCTGTCCTCTAATCAGGTTTTGGTCACAGTCCCCTCACACATCACACACCATATCTGTTTGTTGTCTGGTTTATCGGTTGGTCCCTAGTCACCAAAGGCATCCATCTTGCTGCACCATTTCCATGTGTCTGTTTGGTTGGTTAGTTGGTTGTAGCATCAGTTGGTCAGTTGGAACACCATGTACCATCTTGAATTCTCTAATTTTGAGTTGGTTCAGTGGTTGATCGTCAGCATGGCTCCTTTTGAGTAGTTGATCTGTAGTCTTCTCTGATGGAGTTTGTGGTGAGACAAAAATTCAACAACTTGCAAAGAAATACATGTAAAGAAACTATGCTAAAAATTACCTCATTCTGTGTTGCTTTTTAAATTTTCAATTCAGGCTGCCTTTACAAATTATCAAATTTTTGCTTCACCACATTCTGTCCTCTAATCAGGTTTTGGTCACAGTCCCCTCACACATTACACACCATATCTGTTTGTTGTCTGGTTTATCGGTTGGTCCCTAGTCACCAAAGGCATCCATCTTGCTGCACCATTTCCATGTGTCTGTTTGGTTGGTTGGTTGGTTGTAGCATCAGTTGGTCAGTTGGAACACCATGTACCATCTTGAATTCTCTAATTTTGAGTTGGTTCAGTGGTTGATCGTCAGCATGGCTTCTTTTGAGTAGTTGATCTGTAGTCGTCTCTGATGGAGTTTGTGGTGAGACAAAAATTCAACAACTTGCAAAGAAATACATGTAAAGAAACTATGCTAAAAATTACCTCATTCTGTGTTGCTTTTTAAATTTTCAATTCAGGCTGCCTTTACAAATTATCAAATTTTTGCTTCACCACATTCTGTCCTCTAATCAGGTTTTGGTCACAGTCCCCTCACACATCACACACCATATCTGTTTGTTGTCTGCTTTATTGGTTGGTCCATCAGTTGGTCCCTAGTCACCAAAGGCATCCATCTTGCTGCACCATTTCCATAAGTCTGTTTGGTTGGTTGGTCATAGCATCAGTTGGTCAGTTGGAACACCATGTACCATCTTGAATTCTCTAATTTTGAGTTGGTTCAGTGGTTTATCATCAGCATGGCTTCCTTTGAGTAGTTGATCTGTAGTCGTCTCTGGTTGAGTTTGTGGTGAGACAAAAATTCAACAACTTGCAAAGAAATACATGTAAAGAAACTATGCTCAAAATTACCTCATTCTGTGTTGCTTTTTAAATTTTCAATTCATGCTGCCTTTACAAATTATCAAATTTTTGCTTCACCACATTCTGTCCTCTAATCAGGTTTTGGTCACAGTCCCCTCAAACATCACAAACCATATCTGTTTGTTGTATGGTTTATTGGTTGGTCCCTAGTCACCAAAGGCATCCATCTTGCTGCACCGTTTCCATGTGTCTGTTTGGTTGGTTGGTCGTAGCATCAGTTGGTCAGTTGGAACACCATGTACCATCTTGAATTCTCTAATTTTGAGTTGGTTCAGTGGTTTATCATCAGCATGGCTTCCTTTGAGTAGTTGATCTGTAGTCGTCTCTGGTTGAGTTTGTGGTGAGACAAAAATTCAACAACTTGCAAAGAAATACATGTAAAGAAACTATGCTAAAAATTACCTCATTCTGTGTTGCTTTTTAAATTTTCAATTCATGCTGCCTTTACAAATTATTAAATTTTTGCTTCACCACATTCTGTCCTCTAATCAGGTTTTGGTCACAGTCCCCTCACACATCACACACCATATCTGTTTGTTGTCTGCTTTATTGGTTGGTCCATCAGTTGGTCACTAGTCACCAAAGGCATCCATCTTGCTGCACCGTTTCCATGTGTCTGTTTGGTTGGTTGGTTGTAGCATCAGTTGGTCAGTTGGAACACCATGTACCATCTTGAATTCTCTAATTTTGAGTTGGTTCAGTGGTTTATCATCAGCATGGCTTCCTTTGAGTAGTTGATCTGTAGTCGTCTCTGGTTGAGTTTGTGGTGAGACAAAAATTCAACAACTTGCAAAGAAATACATGTAAAGAAACTATGCTCAAAATTACCTCATTCTGTGTTGCTTTTTAAATTTTCAATTCATTCTGCCTTTACAAATTATCAAATTTTTGCTTCACCACATTCTGTCCTCTAATCAGATTTTGGTCACAGTCCCCTCACACATCACACACCATATCTGTTTGTTGTCTGGTTTATCGGTTGGTCCCTAGTCACCAAAGGCATCCATCTTGCTGCACCATTTCCATGTGTCTGTTTGGTTGGTTAGTTGGTTGTAGCATCAGTTGGTCAGTTGGAACACCATGTACCATCTTGAATTCTCTAATTTTGAGTTGGTTCAGTGGTTGATCGTCAGCATGGCTCCTTTTGAGTAGTTGATCTGTAGTCTTCTCTGATGGAGTTTGTGGTGAGACAAAAATTCAACAACTTGCAAAGAAATACATGTAAAGAAACTATGCTAAAAATTACCTCATTCTGTGTTGCTTTTTAAATTTTCAATTCAGGCTGCCTTTACAAATTATCAAATTTTTGCTTCACCACATTCTGTCCTCTAATCAGGTTTTGGTCACAGTCCCCTCACACATTACACACCATATCTGTTTGTTGTCTGGTTTATCGGTTGGTCCCTAGTCACCAAAGGCATCCATCTTGCTGCACCATTTCCATGTGTCTGTTTGGTTGGTTGGTTGGTTGTAGCATCAGTTGGTCAGTTGGAACACCATGTACCATCTTGAATTCTCTAATTTTGAGTTGGTTCAGTGGTTGATCGTCAGCATGGCTTCTTTTGAGTAGTTGATCTGTAGTCGTCTCTGATGGAGTTTGTGGTGAGACAAAAATTCAACAACTTGCAAAGAAATACATGTAAAGAAACTATGCTAAAAATTACCTCATTCTGTGTTGCTTTTTAAATTTTCAATTCAGGCTGCCTTTACAAATTATCAAATTTTTGCTTCACCACATTCTGTCCTCTAATCAGGTTTTGGTCACAGTCCCCTCACACATCACACACCATATCTGTTTGTTGTCTGCTTTATTGGTTGGTCCATCAGTTGGTCCCTAGTCACCAAAGGCATCCATCTTGCTGCACCATTTCCATAAGTCTGTTTGGTTGGTTGGTCATAGCATCAGTTGGTCAGTTGGAACACCATGTACCATCTTGAATTCTCTAATTTTGAGTTGGTTCAGTGGTTTATCATCAGCATGGCTTCCTTTGAGTAGTTGATCTGTAGTCGTCTCTGGTTGAGTTTGTGGTGAGACAAAAATTCAACAACTTGCAAAGAAATACATGTAAAGAAACTATGCTCAAAATTACCTCATTCTGTGTTGCTTTTTAAATTTTCAATTCATGCTGCCTTTACAAATTATCAAATTTTTGCTTCACCACATTCTGTCCTCTAATCAGGTTTTGGTCACAGTCCCCTCAAACATCACAAACCATATCTGTTTGTTGTATGGTTTATTGGTTGGTCCCTAGTCACCAAAGGCATCCATCTTGCTGCACCGTTTCCATGTGTCTGTTTGGTTGGTTGGTCGTAGCATCAGTTGGTCAGTTGGAACACCATGTACCATCTTGAATTCTCTAATTTTGAGTTGGTTCAGTGGTTTATCATCAGCATGGCTTCCTTTGAGTAGTTGATCTGTAGTCGTCTCTGGTTGAGTTTGTGGTGAGACAAAAATTCAACAACTTGCAAAGAAATACATGTAAAGAAACTATGCTAAAAATTACCTCATTCTGTGTTGCTTTTTAAATTTTCAATTCATGCTGCCTTTACAAATTATTAAATTTTTGCTTCACCACATTCTGTCCTCTAATCAGGTTTTGGTCACAGTCCCCTCACACATCACACACCATATCTGTTTGTTGTCTGCTTTATTGGTTGGTCCATCAGTTGGTCACTAGTCACCAAAGGCATCCATCTTGCTGCACCGTTTCCATGTGTCTGTTTGGTTGGTTGGTTGTAGCATCAGTTGGTCAGTTGGAACACCATGTACCATCTTGAATTCTCTAATTTTGAGTTGGTTCAGTGGTTTATCATCAGCATGGCTTCCTTTGAGTAGTTGATCTGTAGTCGTCTCTGGTTGAGTTTGTGGTGAGACAAAAATTCAACAACTTGCAAAGAAATACATGTAAAGAAACTATGCTCAAAATTACCTCATTCTGTGTTGCTTTTTAAATTTTCAATTCATTCTGCCTTTACAAATTATCAAATTTTTGCTTCACCACATTCTGTCCTCTAATCAGATTTTGGTCACAGTCCCCTCACACATCACACACCATATCTGTTTGTTGTCTGGTTTATCGGTTGGTCCCTAGTCACCAAAGGCATCCATCTTGCTGCACCATTTCCATGTGTCTGTTTGGTTGGTTAGTTGGTTGTAGCATCAGTTGGTCAGTTGGAACACCATGTACCATCTTGAATTCTCTAATTTTGAGTTGGTTCAGTGGTTGATCGTCAGCATGGCTCCTTTTGAGTAGTTGATCTGTAGTCTTCTCTGATGGAGTTTGTGGTGAGACAAAAATTCAACAACTTGCAAAGAAATACATGTAAAGAAACTATGCTAAAAATTACCTCATTCTGTGTTGCTTTTTAAATTTTCAATTCAGGCTGCCTTTACAAATTATCAAATTTTTGCTTCACCACATTCTGTCCTCTAATCAGGTTTTGGTCACAGTCCCCTCACACATTACACACCATATCTGTTTGTTGTCTGGTTTATCGGTTGGTCCCTAGTCACCAAAGGCATCCATCTTGCTGCACCATTTCCATGTGTCTGTTTGGTTGGTTGGTTGGTTGTAGCATCAGTTGGTCAGTTGGAACACCATGTACCATCTTGAATTCTCTAATTTTGAGTTGGTTCAGTGGTTGATCGTCAGCATGGCTTCTTTTGAGTAGTTGATCTGTAGTCGTCTCTGATGGAGTTTGTGGTGAGACAAAAATTCAACAACTTGCAAAGAAATACATGTAAAGAAACTATGCTAAAAATTACCTCATTCTGTGTTGCTTTTTAAATTTTCAATTCAGGCTGCCTTTACAAATTATCAAATTTTTGCTTCACCACATTCTGTCCTCTAATCAGGTTTTGGTCACAGTCCCCTCACACATCACACACCATATCTGTTTGTTGTCTGCTTTATTGGTTGGTCCATCAGTTGGTCCCTAGTCACCAAAGGCATCCATCTTGCTGCACCATTTCCATAAGTCTGTTTGGTTGGTTGGTCATAGCATCAGTTGGTCAGTTGGAACACCATGTACCATCTTGAATTCTCTAATTTTGAGTTGGTTCAGTGGTTGCTAGTCAGCATGGCTTCTTTTGAGTAGTTGATCTGTAGCCGTCTTTGGTGGAGTTTGTGGCGAGACAAAAATTCAACAACTTGCAAAGAAATACATGTAAAGAAACTATGCTAAAATTACCTCATTCTGTGTTGCTTTTTAAATTTTTAATTCATGCTGCCTTTACAAATTATTCAATTTTTGCTTCACCACATTCTCTTCTGTAATCAGGTTTTGGTCAGTCCCCGCACACATCACACACTAACTCAGTTTGTTGTTTGGTTGGTCCCTAGTCTTCAGAGTCATCCATCTTGCTGCACCATTTCAATGTGTCTGTTTGGTTGGTTGTAGCATCAGTTTTTCAGTTGGAACACCATGTACCATCATGAATTTTGCAACTTGAAGTGAATTTAGTGGTTGATGATAGTCAGCCTGGCATCTTTTTGAATAATTGATATGCTCTCTCTGGTAGAGTTTGAGAAACAAAAGTTCAACATTTTGACAAGAATTTTTGAGTAACCTCGGAATTTTTAGAAACATTTGATTTGCCATTTTGAATGTTTTTATTAGTTTCCTGATGCTTGATCCATGGTGATAGATGTTTTAACTTTTTTGGTACATGGTTTCCAAAATTTTCATAGAAAATATATTAATGAAAATATTTTTAAAGTTTTTTTTTTTTCCTGTTCACTAGCCGTGGCCATTGTTTTAAAGTTTTTTCTTGACAAATAAGTTTAACTTCATAATTTGAATATGACCCTTTTTTTTTGTTATTTTCACAATAGCATTCCATTCACATACCTTAGTGTATACCATGGCTTACTATCTTTGTAATTTTTTCAAAGAAGGCTTCCTGGAGTACATTAACCATTCATTCACCATCATCCTACCATATTGTTCCATCATCATACTAATACCAAAATTCATTTCATTACCAGTATATTATCATTGGCATCTGTATACCAATATACCATGCAACACTCATTACCAATACATGAAAAAGCCTTAAGCATTTGTCCATTCCACATCCTGTACCCAATTGTGTTGTCATTTTTTTTGTTCACTCTGTAAAGCTGCATTATGCACTTGCAAGTTTATATACCAGTGTGGTGATGTGTGTTGAGTGCTTTTATTTGTATCAACAGGTGTTTTTTTTTTCACTCTGTACTTTCAAAATATATTACTTCCTGAAAGTGCCTTTTGGTTTCTGGAGATGGAATGACAGATGTTATTCAAACTATTGGCAATCCCAACATAACCTGCACTTTCTTCTTAACAGCAAAGAGGCTCTGAGCTGGTAATGCTCACCTAGATATATGCCCATGACCCTCTTCCCTTAAAATAGCCCAATAAATCGCACCCTTAGTGAATTTCACTCTACTTTTTACTACATTTCCAAATGGATCAGTTCTTGACCATGTTTTTCTGCGAGACTTGTTCATAATAATGTGTTAGACAAAAGTTTAGATGGAATTGGTCTTTTCCAGTTGACCCTATAGGATGACGTGTTTCAAGTTTTTGTCACAATTATCTCAACATTTGCAATGTTCACAAAAAAAATGGTTATTACCAAATTTGGTGGCAAACATCAAAAATAAGGATTATAAATAATTATATAATAAAGTTGTGTGTATCCCAAAGTCCCACATTGGCCTTTTGAATTAAGTAGCAAATCCGAGGCTTATCTTACTTTTCATTTCCAGTACCAGATCTGTGTACATGTTTTTGTTGCTGCATGTGGTCACAATGTGGAATACAGGCCAATATTTGTGCCTCTATTGAGCAACTATGAATGTATGAATATAATGAACATCAATCAACTCCTTGTCTGCATACCAGTACCAAACTAATGATGATTTCTCCAAGATGAAAACGCAGATACTTTAATAGCCACCTTAAACCTTCAACATTGTTGTCTGATTGACATAAATACCACATCTAAAATTCATGGAGAATTTAATTTACAGTTGACAGAAAGGTGCTCTTTATTGAAGTTCACTGATCAAGACTTAAATTAAGAGCCAAAAAATTAAAGCTACCACAACAAAGAAAATCACAATGCTCATGTCATTTTATACAAATAAGAGGAAACCTTGTGAAGTTCAAAATGTCCAAACTATGAATTATGGTTTTTTTTTTACATATTGGACCGAAAGATAAGATGGAATGTTATTAAAACATTTCGTGGCAAATATTACATGCATAAGGTTTTTTTTACCAACAAATTGGAAGGCAGATTCATGAACGCAGCCTCAACCCTATCTGTGCGATTTTGAAAGTTTACCAATAAAATGTAATTTTAGACAAAATTTACAACAGAAGTGTCATATTTTTAGTTTATGAAAATGTTAGTGTGTTCAAAATGCTATCTGCATAATTAATTCCAGTCTATTTTGACTAAATAAAACCTGCAGAAATTATAATTTTAAGAAATTTACCTTTTGATTTACTAGATATTTATTTAATGTAAAATTAACATAAATGGTAACTTTGAAAACATTAACTTCCTGATAAGCTGAATAAATTGACACTTGTGTGATATTTTTTGTGAAGATGCCATTACACTTACTGAACATTGGGTCATAAATCTACATGTAGCTCATTCAGGACAGTAATATTTACTATGAAGAACAGGCATCCGATTTTTTTTTTATTTGCTTTCAAGGTAGCAATAAAATGCGTCAATGACATGCTTACAACTTCAGTGTGTGGATCTTTTTCTTGTATATCATGTGTAATAATTCTGTTTTTGATGGTATTTTTTTTTTTGTTGACTTGTAAATCTGATTAAAATACAGATCCCTGTCCATACTGCACTTAAGGATCTGAAAATTCTCCATTCTACTTTCTGTTTAAACAACCATTCACGATCCTTAGCTTTTGTAGTGATGGTACACACCTTAAAAAATTGGAGGCAGACATTCCATTGGTTGTTGTTATCAGAATGGAGAGTAAAAAATTGTCAAGACCATTGCAAGCGAAGCATGGACATAGGATTTATTTTTTAATTAGATGGGTTGACGACTCATTTTTTTTTGGTATACACTTCAAGATGAATACTATGAAGGATCTGTAGATCTCTCCTTATAACAGCAACAAACTGAACAATTATTAAGGGTACCTGCTTTTGAGCTAGTTAAGTTTTTCACCATGGTGTTAAATCTTCATTTATCAGTATTGTACCTTCAAGCCTTCATTCTACTGGACAGTCTTCGGGGGTTCATGAAGTCAATTATGTGTCCTCAATAAACAAAACCAAACAACAAAGTGTGGATCCATGAAATCTTCCATATAGATCATTGGAAACATGGAGATGGCCATGGGTCAAGAACAGGTCACACAATTTTTTGCTTTACTGCACTGCAATCACTTCACTTGTATCAACTGATCCATAATTGTAAGGGAAAAAATCAGAACAAAGTGTCTGCAACTTCAAATTTTTCGACAGCACAGTTCCTCCCAGACTTTGAAATCCAGGTGTCAGTAGTTATTTAAGAAAGAAAAGAAATAGTACACTTGCACCATTTTTTCTAAATTATACATCTCATTAAATATTGAAGTGTTTTGAAAATGATCATATAAAATATTCTTTTCAGTGAAAAATTATCTCTATTGAACAAATTATATAGTCTAATGACTCATTACTGAACACAAACAAAACTCTGAGTTTACCTTCATGTCTCATTCTATTATAAATTTCAGCAGGAAGCAGGCAGCACCAAATAAAAGTCTGGGACTCAACCTTCCTCTAGGAGAGTTGTGGAAAAGCTTATATTGGATGGGACTACATACATCTGCACTTCATAATGTTGAGGACAATAAATAAGCCAGTGTGGACATGTCAATGGCAGAAGCTTTCAACCTTTGGATTAGTCTACTCTGGATAATTATGCAAGCAGAGTTTATGGCTGGCTGCAACTAGGTAATTCCCACAGATTAAAAGAGAAAAGACAGTAATGGAGACACAAGAGCTCTTCACATATTACATCATTTTCTGAAGTTTTATAAATTATGCTGCAATTCAAATATGTTATTTCAAAAGTAAGGTTTAATACAAATCTAGTTTCGACGTGTACAGGGATCACCATATGATATGCAAGAGTGGTACTCCTCAAAGACTTGCTCAGCACAAACCTTTTTATTTGGATTATAATTTATATTACCTCAAGTTAAAAAACTATTTCATGAAGACTACATTGAATATTCATCAATTTAGAAAGATAAAGTTTCAATTGTTGTGTCGAAAGGTACAACAATATCAGTGCCATCCTTGCAATTTTTCAGTGGTGATCTCTGTATGTAGAATTACTATTAACAGGTGGTCTTTTGACCAAATCAGCTTCATTTAAGAATTTTTTTTATTTATAAAAAACCAGGATAGTTATAAGCTTTTAAAACTAATTTTTAAATTTAGAGAGACCGACATAAATTTGATTTTTTTTTGTTGCTAGGTGTGCATGTGTCAATTGACAAAATGGAATTGCTATTTGAAATTTAAAATGTTTTTTATCAGTCTATCCTCAATCAGATACAGTACAAATAACATATAAATTCAAAATCTCTACAAACCGAACTCATCAAATTCTGGTTAAAACTTTTAGGACGAACAACAGCCTTTCACCTTTCTGTTATCAACAGCAAGGGTACATCAAGGACCAACAGTCTTTCACCTTCTCTAAACAACAGCACGAGTTCATCAAGTCTTATGTAAATATTCAGCTATTGTATACTAACGTGTACTTCATCCTTAAGAATGTGTGGACTGTAATAAAGTCTTATGAAGGTCAAAGGTTATAATAACTCTATGTGATACACAGGTGAAAGTTCTGGCAAATGACATACTATTTTAAATGGAGAGTTTTCAAAGGCTTTTCCATATATTTTGTTACAAAGCCAAAAATAATGTTTTATAAAATATTTACTTCTCTCAATTCACACTTTGTTTCTAGAAAGTCCTCTGGCTTTCCATTTTGCCAAGGCAATAAATGAATTTCTGCATTTCTTACTTTCATTTTTTAACCACCCTTACACCACTTTGGATCAATACTAGTTCTGAGGTTGAGCATTTAAAAGAATATGTATTGGTAATTTGATGTAGGAGAAAAAAAATAGCATCAACTGCACTTATCTAAATTTTTGAACGAGGAACACATCTTACTTGCAATTTAAAATCTGTTTCAATGTTGATTTTCAATTGTGAATCATCGTGTTTAAAAATATTATTTCATTAATGAGTGAAATATCTGGTCAATTTACACACAAACAACATGTACCTTACTTTTACCTTCCAGGTTTTATCTTATTTCAGCAGACAAATTGTTCATTCAAAAGAAACCAAATGATTGAGGACAGCCAACAAGTGTCGTACTGGATGATGCATCGTAGTCCACTTTTTAACTCTTCCCCGTCACTACTTTGAAGGCGAAGACAGAACCCAGTTAGGAATAATGTTGCAAATTCAAGTCTTTGGTAATACCGTATGAATGGACTCTTGAGCAGTAAATTGAAGAATTTTCTCGTGTCAAGTCAAGTTGAATTGCAATACTTATTAAGTGCTGTGCAAGGTTATTATTTGGCCTCCTCTTTGGTTTCAGTCACCTTTCCCCAAAGGAAATGAAAATGAATAAAAGTTTAATACATTCGTACAAAGAGGTCTACAATTTTGAAATCTTCAATTGTACATTCCAGGTGGAGTTAGCTGAAAAACATTGCTATCATACCATGCTTTGAAGAACATAAAAATTATCTACATGTACATGTATATTGAAAATGTGAAAATCCCCCAAAGCAAATTTTACATTATTTAAACTCAATATGGAACAGGAGGAAGTAATCTCAATGTTTGATATAATTCCACTTAATTCAAAATTTTTCAATAATGGATTTTACATATCCTAATTCTTTTCTTGTCAAATTTTCATACAGCTTGAAAACGATAAATAAATGTTAAAAAAAAAATGACTGATACATTACAAACCACTGCTCATTAGTTGATAAATGACACAAACTAGTACTAAATTTTTACTTGTATAAACTACCAGTTATTTCAACATCAGTTATGCATGTTGTTCATTTTCTTAACAGTTTAAGGAAAACCCAGTCTTTCATCCCATGTTGCCATGACACAGCTATAGGAAGAACAAAGTACCAAGTCTATGAAAGAAATCCAGTCTTGTTTACCAACATGTAAAGATTCTTGCTTCAGAGTAAAGACTGCATACTGAAATTTTAATATTAACAAAGACAAATCAAGACTATTTTTAAAGATCAAGCAATTTTCACAATATTTAAATCCTGTATAGTTATTTTGGAGATGGGGAATAAATTTTGTCTGTTTTTATTTCAAAATCATTGGTTAAAAGTTTGACATCAACCCAGTTGCAAAAATTATAAATACTGGAGGCAATATTTACCTTTAAAATCAATTGAAATAAATTTGAATTTTCCTCTTTAAGCCAGGTTTTTCAAATTAGAATATTAATGAATGAAATACAATGTTTAAAAAAAATATTTAAATACTCATTTAGTGTTAGCTTGAAAGATTTAAAAGACACTTCACATCAGATCTCAAGATATAAATCATCTTACAAGTTTTGTCACATGCATAATGAATACCTTTTATAGGACAAGTAATTGTTCATTTGAACATTCAGGCTTTTAAAGTCAACTGCAGCAAGACTTGAACCTTTAAAGGCATTCCTCCCTCAATCCCTTGGTTAATAGTCATCTCTTCATGGCAAGCAATTGGAACTGTCTATTTATGAAATCCCTTGTATACACTTTTTAAATAAAGTTTCAACATTCATCGTCTCTTTCAACTGTTGCAATTATGGTAAAAATAAAATATTTAAAAAAAAAATGAATTCATACTTTATCTTACTGATTTTCACGTTGAAAACCCGAACAAAAGCAGGAATCCAACCTTCTTATACAAGCAACATGTACAGTATCACACCCGTCAGTGGCACAAATACACATAGGACCAGTGAACTGTGAGTAATCAGATCTTGTTGGCGACCAACTTATCTCAAAAATACTCTTGAATGGAGACCATGTCATCCCACAATATTTCCTTTGGACTGTGTGGAAAATTATAGAATGGACGGCAAGCAGATAACATGGATAAAGCTTCCTACACTTCTCTATACACAAACTTGGACATATTGGCCAGTCTTCATGAAGGCTTGAAAGCTGATAAAATAATATATATATGATTTAAATTGACGATGCAACCAAGTATATAATAAATAACATATTTTATTCAAAAACTAACAAAATATAACAAATACATATCGCGAAATTGTGAACACGTTTGGTGGGAAAACTTTTAAACGGTCAATTAAATGAATACTATGAATTATAAAGCTTCTCAAAAAATGAATTTAAAGATAAAATATCGTCGTTACCACCTGATTTTATGTTACCCTCATCAATAACCGATATTTCTTTTCCGACATTTTCACCTTCCCGTTTCGCCAATTTTTTACCAAGTTTTTGTAGATCCAATAATAACTTCAACTCCGTGGACTGTAATAGAGCTTTCGCCCGATATTGAAAATCTTTCCCATTTACAGTTCTTTTCTTTGTTCGTACGCGACGCAGTAAATTCAGCACAACTGAAGATTCGTTTACGGAGATTTCTGTGGGCGCCATCTTGGATTGTCAAAAATTGTTCTTTTCTATCAAATTTCCTCGAATTAAAACTAAAATGAATTGAATCGGTTATCGTCCAGTCTATAAAAAAGTTCTGTTTAACAATATTAAGTGTCCAAAATTAAAACAAAAGCTTAGAAACTCGTATTTCGATACATCATGGTATCAATCTGTTTAAAATAGGTCCTGTGTTCTTTCCAACTAACGCAACACTGGCGACGCACATCCCGAACTATTTTTAAGTACTACCCCACCTACGTCATAAACACATGACAAATTACAAATATTTTAAAGTTCTATATATTTGCGTTCAGTTTGATATATTTTGTTTGAATTTGGTTCATGATTTTAATTATAATAATACATATTACATTTTTTGGTCAGTGAGAATATATGAAAGGATCATACAGTGTACTATATTTCTTGACGCATTTATGTTGTGAAATCTTATAAATCTACACAGTCTACGTCACAATAGATTGGAATGTTCCAGGTTCATACTAAATGCGTCACAAACTAAATTTAGACGTGGCAATATTATTTACGATAAGAAGGGGTATTATAAGCGTATTTATTATTTTTTTTTTAGAATTTTCAAAAATGATTTGGCTATGTATGTGTATTATGTTAATAAACTGAGACTACTATAACTGTTAGTCTCAGTAATAAATAACCGCTTTAACAAGTCAATAATTTTGTTGACTTTCGAAGCCCAAACTTTCTATTGCATTAAATACGCTTATGAGAGATAGAAAAATGATGCCAATACAAACATATAGGGTTTTTTTCACTTCTTAGGTTCTTAGATTGGTTGTAGTTTTAACAAGAAATTGTATTAAAAAATCTCTCATTTTCTCCCTACCCAGTTTACTCTTAACACTTAATTTGATATGTATTAGATACAATACAAAGGTAACAAAGAAACAGGCCGGTAACAAGCGTTGCCGGATAGTTTTTCTGCACGAGTAGTCAGGTCAAGGTCCGAGGCGATAGCCGAGGACCTTGACCTGACTACAAGTGCAGAAAAAACTATACGGCAGTTTGTTTCCGGCCTGTTTTTTGTTACCTTTGTTTTGTATCTGACTTGTACGACGTTTCAAGAAAGAAGTAGTACATTTTGCATTTAGAAGAGGTAGCAAAATTAAACAGATTAGAAACTTAAATGACCATATACAAGTTAATGTAAGTTACAGTTTAAACAAACTTTTTTTTTCACTTTCCTTCAGCCGAGTTTTTTTTCTCTCAAGAAATTCAAAAATCTAATAATTTTATAAAAAAGAACCATATCAGGTAAAAGATGAATGTCGTACACATTTGAGACTTTTTTAAATGCAACTTCGCAAGTAAGTAATGTAGGAAAAAGATTTAAGAGGTAAGCAAGCTAACATTTGATTTTTATTTGGGGAAAAACGGAAAAGGGGGGGGGTTAAACATTTAAAATCACAGGCTTGATCCTTTTTTGTTGAAAAAATGCAGGATGTGCCATTCCATTCCCCATTCCCCCTTAAAAAAATAATAAAAATCGTCCGTTTGCTCCCAAATATATGAATTGAATATATATGATTTCAATAACAGTATAAATGTATAAAAAGAACGAAGTTCTTATTTCATTAGTGAATGAAATGTTATGAAAAAATAGATTTTGGCTTGTTATTAGATATATATAGGCATATATTTTGGTGTTTTTTTTTTAATTTTCATGCTTGTAGGTCTCTAATAGTATTGATCAGGATTAAACACGTGTCACAATTATGATCCAATCGCAGCTTACCGTCCAAAATTGGTGACATAAGTTGAAAGATTTTCTTCAAGATTTGCTGCCTATTTGGACGTGTATTACACGGACACTTATTATTTATAGGATCAATCGTGCATTGGTGAGTTGATAGGGATTTTATCTTTTGATTAGATTTGATTTTTTTATATATATTTACTGTCTTTTATATTGAAATATAAACGTCGGTACCAGCATTTCTTTACTTTCAGTATTGTTCAGAATACTATTCATGTCCATATATTGAAAAAATACATTTACGGACCGACCATTTAGCTTCAAAAGGGGTATGTTTTTTTTTTTCTGAGTAAGAAAATTATTTACCTTTTCAACGCTATCACCAAATATTTTTTTCGAAATTAGCACTTTAATATACTGTACTCGGAAAATCAGGAATCAGAACATTATGTTGTCATCTGCTTGACCACACTATATTTTTTCTCATAAAATTGGGGATCAGAATATTTTTTTTGTGGAAAAAACCATACCCCCCCCCCCCTTTTTGAAGTTAAATGGTCAATTCCGTAGTGTACTGATATGAATAGTAATATACTGGAATTGTTTGAAAAAAAATGCAGTTATTTGATGCCAACGTAAATATTTTAATAAAAAAGACAGGAAATATGTCGGTGAAACAAAAAGTTCAAATCTAATCGAAATTTAAAGTGCCCATGAACTCACTGATCATGCACGAGTGATTCTATTCATAAAAAGTGTCCGTGTAACAACTAAAAAGTGTCCGTGTATCATCTATAAAGTGTCCGTGTAACACCCGTTAATGTACTGTTTTTCTATAGCTCTGCTGGGGGCAAAGTCGTACAAGGACTGGTAATTGTTATCAAATCTTACGCAATTCGATTGTTGCTTCTCCTTTTAATACCTGTTTACCTATTAAAATTTGTACTGTGTGTATTCTGTAAGCACGCTAAATTTTATTACGTTACATTTATGAATACAAGGATGGCAACAAAAATCTTCCAAGAAATTATTAAAATACTCTTGTCTGTGGATAAACAATTATATTTATGGTTTATCTTTAGTTTTCTGTCCTAATAGTATCGAGAATAATATACTAAATGGTCAAGTCGAATTTTAATTATTATTTTTTAATGAATACGACTTAACCATGCAATGTTCTCAGTTTAGCTAGAGAGTTTGGATATGTTACTGTCTGACTTGAGAATAATGGGCAACATAAGTGAAGAAAAGAGAAAAATGACTTAAAAATTAAAGAATACTAAATAGAAATGAAGTTCCCTATCCAGACCCTCATACTTAATAATTCACAATTCAACTTTGCTGATCGTGCCTAATCTGAATGCATTTTAAGAATAATTATATTCTGTTTATCTGAAAACAGGTTATAATTTGCATTTCTTTTTACACACACGGTTGCTTCAAATCAATTGACCATCAAACTGTACACATACTCTGGACGAGTTCATGATAAGTTTATGAATGAAACAAAAGGTATGAAAGGTTTGATTTTGCAATTCTTACTTTTTTACGAAATTTTCGTAATACAGTGAATTTTTACAATAATGAAAAAGGCGCGTTATTTAGAAATTGGAGAAACTTTACAGATCATGTGTTTTCATTCTTTGACAAAATATTAATTTGATGGGAAACATTGAAATTTATTTTACGCACGTCTACGCACGGTAAAAAGCTTGTTATCTTAACAGAAAATAGCATTTTTTTCAATCTCATTAAGCTGTTATCCAATTTTATTCAAATGAAAGCAGTTAATGAAGTCAAAATATGACCGATCTGCCTATTTTTGAACTTAAAAGGTCAATTTGATCGTTTTTACGCTGGGTCGTCTACCTCACAAAATCATGTTAGGCACTATTATAAAATTGTAAACTTGAAGAGCCAACTTACTCTCGCATATTATGTATATAACTCGAGATATGTAACGTTACATTTTTAATCATATACCAAGTATACAATTAAAAATGTAACGTTACATATATAACTGTATGTAGGCCTATAGGGTTATCGCATATGGGCATGTTATAATAAGGCTATTTGCTATTTTGCCGGCTCTAATTATCTTAAATTTGTCTTTTGGATACTGTAAAATGGTGTGCAAATCAAATCATTTTATTGATGTAAAATCTAAATATTGGGTTGTTTATACGAAGCCGAAACATGACAATATATACAAACATACAATATTCAAAATTAACCAACCTTCATCTTATATAAGTATATTATATATTTAGATATGTTGGTGATACTTTGCAAATTTGAAAATAAAAGCAGGCATGGGGTAATGCAAATTTGTAATTGTAATGCATGGTAATGCATTACATTTTTCCAAGTAATTGCATGTAATGCAGCAATTTTTGCATTACATGTAATTGTAATTTAATGCATTACTTCAGCAAAAAGTGGTGTAATTTCATACATTACATGGCATTACTTTTTTCCACATACTATATATCTTTAACAGATTGTTGGAGATTTAATTAAAGCAGAATATAAGATTTCTTGATTAGCTAAGGACATAATCATTTGAAAATTGATTTTCTATTTATTTTTCACCCTTTACCATGTTTACATAAATCACTAGAGGGAATTTGGAGATTAAGCCTTGCCCCAGGTAGAATTTGAAAAACATTGGTATAAATACCAGAATGACCAAATTACAATTCTAAATGAATAACACAACACTGTATATATATCAGATTGAGTTCTTTTTTTCTTTATTTCATTTGATTACATACATTTTCATACCTTTTCCTGCATAAAAAGATTGATATTTGAGAAGCATTACTGTATTCCATTGTTGTCAAAAGATCGATGTATACCTTGTCATGATTAAATAACAGATTATTGAAAATTGTCATAAAGCACTAATTAGTTTGTTTTTCAATAAATATTTTCACCATTTTGACACTTGGTCATAAATTAAGCTCTATGTTTATTATATAATTAGGAAAGAAATTCTCAGTAAATATTTTGATTGAAATTTAAAAAAAAACAAATGTATATTTATATAAGTAAAGTTAACATTAAGTTCAAATAAGTATCAAACGTCATCTCTGTAATTTCTTTTAGAGAAAACAGAGATGTATACCATGAAACATAAAATCCGAATGAAGGATAAAACCTTCGAATCCCTTATGATGTTAAAATGTAATAGTCGTATTGAATAGACTTTTTACATGCATGGAACAGTTACTGCATATGCTAGAATCTTTTGTGACTTCGTGTTGTTTTTCAAAATGTTTGATTTTTCTTTTCTCTTGATAATAAAATTTACAAATGTAATGTGTAATTCAATGCATTACTTTGCAAAAGTAATTGTAATTTAATGCATTACTTTGATAAATGCATGTAATTGTAATTGTAATTTAATGCATGGTTTTGTCAACGTAATTGCAATATAATGCATTACATTGCAATGTAGTTCACCCCATGCCTGAGTAAAAGTACAATATATTCTTAAAGCTATTGTTA